TGAGAGGCTGGCTGCTGAAAAAAGAAAAAAGCTAGAAATAATAGTGAGGCGTGGCTGAGGCTGTGCGAGCTTTAAGATGACAGGAACCGGCACCATTTGAACATAGTTTTAAACAAGTCATTCATCTTTATTGTGCCACAACAGAGATTAAAGAGCCTGACTGAAAGACTAGCAAGTATTTGACAGTACATATTAGTGTTCCTTGATAATATTCGGGTCACAGATAAATCACTGAACAAATGGGATGGTCGTGCGCCACCTGAGCTTCAGTGGTCACTGTTGTCTGATTACGTGTTTTATTCAGACAAGATTCTTGGCTTTATCAGACTCTGGCTCCAGATGGGTTTTATTCTTTCAGTTCTTGTTGATTTTGTAGAAGAAATGTCATCAGAATAACAGAGAACTGCACCTGGAGAGTGTGTGACGTATTTCTCCAACTTTCATTTCTACTTGTTGTGTATTTTAAGTATGAAATTAATCTCATCCTACTTCCTTCGAACTACAAATACTGTAAATACGCTAGTGCATATTTGTGACCTGCTCTATCGAAATCAGTCGCATTGACCCGAAGACACATTTTGAGTTGTATACACTGTGGGAAAGAGGAGATTCCTAGCTTTCTAATGATATCAGGATTGTTGTTGTACTCCAAATATTAAGCTAAATATGTCACATTATATAATGACTGTCACAGAGTCATCATTTTGAGATTGAGATTGATTATTAGCGGAGCAAATGATCAAAGTAGTACGGAGGGGAGATATTTTCGTTTGGATTACTGGTCTGGGGGAAGCTCGTGTGTGTGTGTGTGTGTGTGTGTGTGTGTGTGTGTGTGTGTGTGTGTGTGTGTGTGTGTGTGTGTGTGTGTGTGTGTGTGTGTGTGTGTGTGTGTGTGTGTGTGTGTGTGTGTGTGTGTGTGTGTGTGTGTGTGTGTGTGTGTGTGTGTGTGTGTGTGTTGTGTTTGTTTCCCAGGGAAAACCTTCAGGAGAAACACCGGCTGTTGTTATGCCTGCAGTGACGTTAAGTTACTCCGTTCTCCGCTTGTAATTATGCCGAAGCTTCAAAGCTGTATTTATCATCTGAATTTGCCGAAACAAGTTTAATATTCTGAAAGCCAAGACTTTGTTTATTTGAAACCAGATGAAAATAAACTGTAATTGACCCTGCCGTGTTATCTATGATTACTATACTCTTTCATTCATAACTTCAGTGGAGGGAGGGGGAGCGGCGCTGCGGAACAGCAGAGTGGCGAGTGAGAGCTGTCTTCGTCCCTTTACAAGCTTCAAACATGTATCTATCGTGTGATTTTGGAAATAAAAGTTTCATATTCTGAAAGCCAAGACTTTGTTTGTTTAAAATCAAACAAAACACCCGAACCCCGGAAAATTTTTACACAAATCCACGTTTCTTTTGAAATGAGCCGTTGCGACTTCCGACTGATTTCGATAGAGCGGGTCACATTTGAGGTTCAGGCTTCAGTTCTCGTAAGAGTTTAAGTTACCATGTAATGTTTCATCACACAACAATATCAGGTTACTTTTCAATCAGTTTTGAAGATGCTCTACAGCCACAGCCCTGTCCCCCCTGCCTCTGGGACAGTCTGTATGAGATAAACAGACTTGCCTCCAGACTGTCACTGCCATCGGCCTCCCGGTCAATGATGTCAAAGATGTCTTCTTGGATTTTTTTGCCCTAGACAGAAAGAAAAAACAGCAGACTTAACTTGCGATCTGGTTTTACTTCTAAGGGTTAAAGATTGACATTTATTTGTGTGATTACCTGTGAATATCCACTAGCCCAGTTGTTCCCCGCGCCTCCGCCATGCTCAGAGAGGTAGATGTTCTCCGGGTTGTAAAGGTTTGCGTACGGGGAGTTGAGGATGGAGTGGATCACTCTCGGCTCCAGATCCATGAGGACTGCCCGAGGGATGTAGTGCTCATCGTCAGCCTGGGGAGTGTCATGAAGAAACAGGAGTTAGCTGGTGATCAAGTGGACAGTCCTGCGTTTGGCTGCAGGAACAAGGTTTTAATCCAACGACTCCATCTAGTGGCAAATAATGTTGTTGCAGTGGAAGCAATACATCAACCCACATACACATGAGGTGTTGAGAAAAACAAAACAATAAGCAATGACAAACAGAAAAAGACACCAAAAAAAGATATAGTAAATATAAATTAAGTAGAAGTAAAGACGGGAGTGTATGACAATATGTTTTGTGGTAAATACACTGTTCTATTTCCTGTATTAATAAATCATTTCAATAGAAAATGCATTAAGTTCTTCATAGCGATGCTCATAGCAACCACATGTGACATTTACAGTGGAGTAATGTATTGAAGTACATTTACTCAAGTACTGTAGCTACGCAAGATTTGGGGTGCTTTACTGAAGTATTTTTATGTTATGCTACTTTATTCTTCTACTCTAAGTTACTACTAACTTTACATATTCACATTATAAGCTATTACACAATACAAATAAACTAATACAACTATTGGTTAATAATAATAATACATTTTTCCTGGTGCTCAAAGACGCTTTAAGATATGGAGCAGTAGTTTATGAATTCATTTATGAAGTAGCTCCACCTTTACCAGCAGTGATAAACACATTAATGCATGAATAATAATAATCCAGTGAATTCATGTATATACCACTAAAATGGGACATTATGCACAATTAAGTATTTTTTCTTAAAGAAAGTATTTTGAAAATGTCGTTTTTCTACGTTTACTGAAATAAAAAAATCGGAGTACTTTTTCCACCTCAGGATATTTGAATAGTCAAAAGCAAAATCTGAAAAAACTGCAATATCTTCACCAACAAATAATATTCAAAGGGAGGATTTAATTAAGGATGTAATTCACAGAAAGAGCATTTAACATGTTGTGGATAGAATGGATTGAATAGAAGCAGTTACCTGGTAGAAGAAAACATCCTTCCTGTCCGTCCCTTCAGTTGCAAACTCCTCCACAATCCCCTCTGGACTGATGCCATGCTCTGCACACAGCTGCTTCCAAAACTCAAACCCGACTGCAACACAGAGAGCAGCAGGTCAGGTAAACGGTCATGTAAAGTCACTTGAATTAACTGATAACAAGTGTATTAGACACACGGTGAACACCATCAACCAGAACCTGCATGGTTACACGAATGACACTGCACAGGTAACGTTAGCTTGTTAACGGTCACTTATATTATGCTATGTAGAGACACCATTAGCTAACTTCAATTCAGCTAACATAGGTTATACATTTGCTGTTTTGTGTAATAATATATATACTAGATACTAGCACTTAGATATCGCCATTCCACCATACATCATCCTAGCTAGCTAACTTAAATGTTGGACATTGGCTAACAATATAAGCATGATACCACAGGAATCTAATAACAAGCTTCTTCTTTCACGTACTTTGATTTCCACATTGTCCAAGCTGGAGCGTTATGATTTCCCGAGGCATGTTTGAGTCTTATTTAGCTAGCCTGCGTACTTGCTTGCTAGCTAAATAACACAAGAAAAGTAGACTGCTGCTGAAAACGCTTCACCACTGCCAGCCCGCCGCTTCCCGCTTGGTGCTGATGTGACGCTGCAGCGGACTCTTCTTCTGCTGTTCAATGGCCTGCCTACCGCCGCCTACTGTATTGGAGCGTGTCGAGTCATAAAGCAGAGTATCATTTGACACATTCAAAGGAGAAATACCCTGCAAGACATATGCATTTTTTAATTGTACAGGCCAAACTTCTATCATATGGCTCTGGCCAAACTCATGAAAAACACGAAACCTCGCCCCTCCTCTGGTTCTAGTATGCTGCCTAAACGGTAATTTGATTGTTTTATTTTGAAAGTCTTTGCCGGAAGTACTAGTATGTTATTGTTTCTGTCTTGACATTCGTTGCGTTGAGATCAGGTTGAGATCATAGACTGTATTATAAAGGTTGAGATGTAAGTACATTTACTCAAGTACCGTTTATTGTATTTTTACTGACATGTTGTAAGCATAGACTGTATACAAGTTGTAAGTGGTGGGTCAGGGTGATCTATCTCGTTAGATAGAGATCTAATGAGGATTTTAAAACTGTATCCTTTTATAATAATAATAATAATAATAACAATTATGATAAAATGTCAACATGTAATAATGATACTATTATTATTTTATTATTATTATAACATTATGACTGTTTGATATTGACTGAAGATAGACAGACTGTATGAGAGGATATGAGGTTTAACCAGTTACCATTTAAAGATTGTAGACATGATTTTATTTGGTGATAATTCTACAAGGTATTTGTCAATAATATTGAGATTCGTTTTGTTTCTAAAACGTATAATGATCTGATCATAACATGTATTTAAAGCATAGAGATTTAAAGTCGTGCGTTTGTCTGTCCTCTAGTGGTCACAATCAGTAACTACAAGTGAACTCAGCCGATCAAAGTTAGACATAATAAAATTGTTATAACTTCCGGTTACGGCGTTAAAAAAAAAAACGTTTACAGGCTAATGTAGTTACACATTTGACAACATGAGGTCCCTGTAGAAACCATGGATGTATGGTAGAAACGTGTACAGTTTCGTGAACTCTTTCTTTAAAAAAAACAAACCTTAACTCTAGTGCCAAGCTTAACTATTTCAAATAAAAAACGTTTTCATTTAATTTATTAAATAAATAAAAATAAATCAGAGCTCTGCTTCATTACCAAGTCACAGCTTTACCGACTTGTGTCTCTGATTTTACTTTCATTTATATTAAAAGTAAAGTATCATCATGTTAGTGGTACATGGATTCTTAACAAAAAATAATATATATATATATATATATATATACTTTAGCTATATTTTGTACGTACACAGCCAAACAATACCATGAAAGATACCAAAAAAAACGAAAATAAGTACATTTATATTTCAACATCAAAGAAGTTTGTCAATGATGTGCTTCAAAGTAAACAAACTTGTCCTATTGCACCTGAATGCAGCATGACACAGGGGATTCTGATTGGACTGCTGTCTCAGAAAAACAGGTTACGCCATATTGTCAGAATCCGAAGAGCCTTTCACTTCTGTAAAAATGACAAAATAGTACGTGTCATGTTATCTTAAAAACATTTTGATTCTGTATGTGATACAAAGCTCGTTTCTACTATAATTAACTAGTGTTAGACGCTAACAGATGATTTAACTGGCGTGGTTAGCTAGCTAGCATAGCACTGTTAATGTAGTGAGTGCTGCTGCTCCGTGGCGTCCCTTCTCATGTACCTGTCTCCACTCATGTCTCTTTTTACAGGCTGATTTGATCATCTGTAGACAGCTAAGATGGAGCACATTGGGGCAATGGAAGGTGCACCCTTGGATGATGGCTCTGCCCAGCAGGGGTCAAATATTTGCATGCGAAGTCGACCATGCTCGAGCGAGAGAGACGGCCAGGTGCGGGCTGTCAAAGCCGCTCTCCAGTCCAGGCTGGGGCCCTACGAGCCCGTGCTGACCTACCTACAGTCCGTCCTGGTGTGGGAGAGACCCTTACAGTGTGTGCTTATCTACACGGTGGTCAACGTGGTGTTCTGGTAAGTTTTCAGCGCAAACTTTGTACATTTTGTAGTTATGTTTCCCTAGTCTGTTTCTGTTATGGCAACCTACATCCAGACAATACAGACAGTGTGTGCTGGTTGTTGGGTGAGAGCCAGTGACCTCAAGCAGATGGTGATTCTACACAATGCAATGTTCACCTGTCAATTCAAAAGAGGGCAGATGGCTGGCTAGTGGCACTATTTATAGACACACTCAGAATCAGATGTAATGGCCGTTTAAGTCAGCTCTCTGGGCACATACAAAGAGATAGACTTATATGTTGTTGCTTTCAAAGTGCATACACAGAAAAGACATGCGCCTAAAACCAGCACAGATAAGGTTAACGTATAGTGCCAAATGCACACTGGTTCAATTAGCGTTAATGCTGTAAGGGGAATCTGTCATCAATCATTTGATAAACGAACATGTAAAGCAACAGGGGGAATTGCACCTTTCTTTAAAACATTGCAGCACATCATTGATAATGTTTAATTGACAGCACTGTAACTTTTATCCATGTATTTTTTCTTTTAATGTTTATTTTATTAGCTTTTCTTTTTAATGACTGATTTTAAATGCCATTTTCTTAATCTCTTTCATTTTTTGTAAAGCACTTTGAATTGCCTTGTGTTGAAAAGTGCTATATAAATAAACTTGCCTTGCCTTGTGTGTGGTTAATGCACTAAACTCATTTCCACCTTATCTCTCATGTGGCTCCTGGACAAACGGTTTTTTTCATCTTGATAACAGCATGGTGTCTTTGTGGATGATCTACTTGACCATTTCCATTGAAGCGGCTTGAGTGTGTGAGGCTGTGCATTTAGGTCAATGTGTTTTCGATACAGAAATGGGAGGGAATTCCTTTTTTACAGGGCTTTCCGCACATCTTGGAGGTATTAAGCCCATGTCCGTGAATAGCAGTCTCTGTTTTACCAATAACCATTTTTCCTCCTTAAAGTCCTAGATAATGTATTTTAATGTCTGTTTTTCTCCATCCAAACCCAAAGATATCTGGTTTAATATGAAATAAATAAGACGCTAAGTAAGAACTCTTTTTATTTGGGCTGAAATGAAATATCTAAATAGTTGGTGTTTGTTATCTGTCGCTTAATCTGTTGGTGGAACATCAAGAACCAAGTACAGTAGAAACCAAGAGGAGAGAGTATAGGATATATTTCGGCTAAATGAAGTGACATTGATACTGCTGTATGGTGAGAACCACTGACCTGGGTAACTAGGCTGGCTTGTGGAGCTCAGGCATTCAGACATTATTAGATTAGACTTGGAGGCATGTCTCCCTTGTGCTTGTGCTTCATCACACTCAGTGTTGCTGGCAAAGATATACACTAATGATCTGCATGAAGCAACTGACAATGGCAAGTCACATGGAGACGAGGAGGAGACACAGGCAACCATTCTGACTGGAGGTCTTGTTTAACCTTCTTAGAGCACCAAGGGGGAAATGGATATAGCTTACACAATAATACAATTAAATAGAACCATACAATAAAATGTATCTTCAAAGAATGTTGTTTAAGTGAGTGTTGTTTTGACACTTTTTTGCAATAATTTGCAAGTTGATATATTATGTGCGTACCAGGGATTGGTTTACTGATACATTTGCATTTGATGTTTTTCCCCAACTGTAGCTGCTTATTGCAGTATTACCCCAAATACCAACACCCCACATTCTGCCAACACATTCTTTGTTAGGTTAATCTGTAAACGGTGTTGTGGTCAACAAACATTCAGATGCACTAGCAAACTAGTGCATCAATTGGAACACTTGACTTTAAACTAAACCACTTTCACTTTTTTTTTTGTTCTGAATAAACATCATTACTTTCATAAATTCTGTACTAAGTGATTGAGTCTGTGACACTGTTTTGTTAAACTTTGTTTATTATTTACTCATTAAAGGTATATTTTTCTCATGTATTTGCTTTGTTTTATTGCCCTCCAGGTTCTTCGCCCTGACCTCGCTGCGCCTGCTGTTCCTGCTGGCTTTTGGTCTGGCTCTGATTGTCACTGTTGATACCTGGAGAAATCAAATCTGGCCAGAGATTAGAGGTGTGCTACATGTGACTTTTTATATATTTCTAACAGACTGCTTCTTCCTTTCCCCAGATTGTAACAAGGGTACTTTGTCAGAAAGATATGCCATACATTCTGGACTTTGCAAGTGATTTATATTACACCTGTAACAGTTAATCTCTCAAACCTGTTGTTGAACTTGTGTAACATCATCTACAAAAGATCAGAGAATGAAGACGAGTTTAGAAATAATTTGTAACTAATATGATAGCTTTTTAGTTATTGTACGCTGAGTATGTTTCTGAAAGTGATGAATGTTCTCTCTCTCCACAGTTAGAAACCTGGAAGAACCAGAAAATGAAAGGTGTGTTAATACAGCAGCAAGTATTCCAACTATAACAACAACAATAGTATAAATAGAAAGCCTGGGGTGTTGATCATTTCCTCTGTTTGTCCAGCTGGGGTCTGGTGCAGCCTGGCGTCCTCAGCGTGCCTGAACTGTGCCACCACATCGCTGAGGCCTGGGTCAGTGGAGCTGTGTTCACATCCAGTGTGGTGCAGTTCAAACAACATTACCCCGGCAAGGTGAGGGACGCCTACAATTTGGAAAAAATCTCTTTTTTAGATCCCAATTTTATTTCTAAGAATTATATTTGGCACGTCACAAAAACAGTTGAATGTTAATTATAAAACATTGACTTTTACAGGACCTTCTATAACTCTTAACACATTTCAAAATAAAAGTCTTCCTGCACATCCACACTTTTTTAAAGCATGTTTCACTTTCATGTGAGAACATAATCAAAACAATAACAACATGGTGTATGTGTGACTGTGATGTTAATCTGTGTGCGACTAAACCATCATGCAGTGTGTACATTTGGCCAGCAAAACAAATGGAAATATGGCACTGATCATAATATACTGTAGTTGAAGGTCATCAAATATACAGTATATCACAGCATGTGGAAACCGCCTTTTTAAATAGTGTAATTTGTCCGTCACAATTTAATCATCATGCCAAATCAAGATCCTAAGTATTGCCAATTAATTCAGGGAGAAAATCTGACTTGTTTTCTTATCTGAGTTTTTTTTTTTCAGTCTGTGATGTTTCTGCTCTCCTATTTGAGTTGTCAGCTGTGTATAACTGCACCATAGTCAGCATGTATTGTAGGAGCTGACTTAATCTCCTGTGTGTGGTTGCTCTGTGTCAGTTCTGCCTCCTGACCTGTGGCGTGTTCACCTGCCTGGCTGGGGTTGGACGCTACATTCCTGGATTAGTGCTCTCCTACTCTGCCTGTGAGTCCCTGCAGTTTCATCAGTCCTTACTACAGATCCAGGCTCCTTCACTAAGGCAGGGAAACTGGCCTGACTGGTCCTATTAAAAATACATGGAGGGTGAAACCTGATCAGTTGGGTCCCGGTTACACAGCCTATCCTGTGAGGTGATTAAATCCAGGATGAGGCACACAAGGAAGGAAGGAAGTAGTGAGGGAGGGAAAGGGACTGAGACTGGGCTAATCTCCCAACCTCCACCCAGTGTAGGCTGCAGACTCTGGGAGGGCGGCCAAGACTTCTGCTCTGACGTAGAAACTGAGTATCCACTGAAGCTAACGCAGCCCAAAAGTAATTCCCGGTAGCAGTTCACATTACAGTTTGGTAATAACATATTGAGTCATGCCTCTGTATGTTTGTGTGGATCTAATATTATCTTAACATTTAAAAAAAGATGCATGTAGTTGGGTATTTTGCAGCCCGGCTAATTTATGGTTATTACACAGAAACCCCTAAGTGGTTTTTTTGGGGTAACGAGTCACAGCATTAAACATAATTTAATTCGGAACATAAGTGGGGATCAATTTCAACATTATAATATGGTTATTAGCAATTTGATTTCAGAGACTTTCATGTCATTTTGATCATATTCTCTGATAGTGGCTTAAAATATTGTGAAAAACGTATATTACCTTATTATCATCAGGTTATCACCCCATTAATGTAATCATATTAACATCGTGTTTTATCCAATTATTGCCGTGATATATATATTTTTAAAGAAGGTTACCGATACCATTATACATTAGTATTATGTAAGAGTTTTGCCTTGTTGTTAAATATACAAGTTTCCACATTGTTACTGGTTGTTTCTGGCCCCATTTGACTGTTAAATACATTTCGGTCTGATGTTACCCACATACAGTACACCCATTGTTATTACCAAGCAATTACGTGACATTACCTATTTATGATGTCTTTATTATCAAACTATTCCCTCCTTCTCTATAATGACTAGTTTTCTCTTCCTCTCCTGCAGTATGGGCTTCTCTCCTCGCTCCTCTGGGAGCCTATTACAGGATTTTTCAGCATGTGTGTGTGAAGCTGGATCCGGTCCTGCAGCGACTGGACTTCAGTGTTTGTGGGTTCATGATGTCCAAGCCTATTGATAATCAGTGTAAGTAGTAAAAATACATTTGATTGAATGTCTGCTACTTTTTATACTTAAAACCTTCAAAGCCCAAGTTGAAAATAAACAAATAGATATCACATGATGACATCTCCTACATTGATTTCACAAATAACAGTACTGTTCTTCTGGGGGTCATAGTTTGTTTGAATATCATTTCTATGAGGTTCTTGTTGCTGAAATGACTTGGACATCTTAATAATGTGTGACTGGCCTCTGGTGGTACCAAACCAAGTGATGTTGTTTGCACTTAACTCACAGATCACATGCACTGTTAGTGACTGTCAATGTTAAAATGTTGCCTTTGTGTTTCCATTTGTCTGCAGTCCTGCGGAGGCCTCTCCGTGGCCCCTCAGGGGAAGACAGTGACAGCGAGGAGGAGTTGGCTGCTTTCTGCCCAACGGTAAGTCTGTTTGAATCCAAAAGTCTCTAAATATTTAAATGACTGACAAATCTGAAGATTTTTGTAAAATAAACTTGGGAAAGCAATTTATACTTTTTTTACATTTTTTGTTTAATGTATTTTGTGGGTTCCTTATTAACTCTTCAACTTGTAAATAAGATTTGTCTCTATCTCACAACTCACACTAAATATTGTCATGCTTTGTTAGAGAAGGCAAGAGACAACATAGTCTCTAATAACTGAAACAGCATAATGTAGAAGTGTTCACACGCAGTCTGTCTTCTGTAAAGTATGCTTCTTCTAATTATAAAAATAGCTTTGTACCTCAGCACAGCATTAGCTACATGCACACATGAGCCACTTCTTGCTTTGGTTAGAAAGTTCACATCATGTGCTATGTCTGTCATGTGTCATTGTGTGGTAACACCTGCAAGAGATGAGAGAATTTACAACAGTTTACAACACTTTTTATAGCACAACCTAAGAGTTAATTAACACATTTAGCATATATTTAAAAAATACAACACATGTTCAACCTTTTTATTCTGTTTTGTCTTGTAGTTTGATGATGCTATTGTTGCAAAAGAACTGGCGATGACTGATTCTGAGCACTCCGATGCTGAGGTGTCCTACACTGATAATGGGACCTTTAACCTATCTCGTGGGCAGACCCCACTCACAGAGGGCTCTGAGGGTAAGTACTGCAGATTCTCCTCTTCCTTTATTTGTTTTGGGTTGTTCTTGTCCCTCACCGTGTCCCTGTCTGTGTTCTGGTCAGATTTTGACAGGCACAGTGATGCTGAGGAGTCCTTTGCTCAGGACCTCCAAGACTTCCCCTCCATAAACCCTGACGCCACTCTGATGGACGACGACGAGGACACGAGCATCGGTCTGCCCAGCCTGGCCATGTCTGGGCTGGCTAGTTACCGCGCCTCGGTGATGGACGCCCATCTGGACTCTGATCAGGAGGATCTGGATGAAGAGCTTTCTCTCAGCGGCCTGCCACCTGCCTCTGATTTCGCCGGGGACTTGGCCGGAGTCATCGCCAGCAACATGATCCAGGCAGCTCTGGCCGGGGCGCTGCAACCTCGGCCCCCTGCCCCCCGCCGCAGAGAAGGCCCTCCACGGGCTGGAGCCCGCCGGAGCTACCGTAAGCAGTCTAGCTCTGAGCTCGACACAGACTTGGACGGAGAGGACTTTGAAATGCTGGATCAGTCTGAACTGAACCAGATGGACCCCCTCGCAGGAGGAGGGGGTAGTAGACGGGGGGAGAGCCAGGGGTCTAACTTCTTGTCTAACTTTCTGGGTAAACCACAGTAAAGTGTGTGTTTATGAGTGTGTGTGTGTGTGCGAGTGTGTCTTTATGTCAAGTGCAACTTCCTGAGCAGTTTTCATGTGTGAGAGAGCATTTAAGGTTCCAGCAGCCCTGCTTCTGATTAGCATCAGTTATCACTGTGAAGAACCTGATTCTTATTTGTATCTTCTCAAACTCTGTTCTCCCGTACTTTCAAACCCTGATCATCCAGAAAATATTTCATTTGTAGGCTGAGCAATAGCAAATGCCACAACAAACCTAAACCCCATTCGAACATTAAACAAACCAGCATTATTGAGGCTTGTTGCAGAATTGTGATTAGCGGCACCTTGTCTATAATGTCTGTAAATACAGAACAACAGTGCCCATAACATCTTACAGGGCTATTCAACATGGGACCAAACATGACATTCCTGTTGGTTAGGTTGAGCCATGCTACTATGATAATGACATTATTGTACAGCAATACATGTTCAAGTTGTTTTGTCATTTGTGAAAGATAAATTAACCCCTCATTGGCTTTCATCAAATGTGACAAAGGAGCAGCAGTTCATGTTGCTGTTGATGTTAGTGCTCTGCTGTCCTTAAAAGTGATTTGGCCATGCTCTTTTACAATATTTCAGGTTTACAGATTTGAATTAACCGTTTTTAAACACTTTTCAGTTGTTGTGGATTTAGACAGCTATCCTCTTCCATGATAATTAATATTAGGATAAAGGTTTTAAGTTCTCCTTTATGATTTTCTTTCCTGCTGTCTAACATATGAAGGCATCTCAATGTATTTTTGTTAGCTTATTTAATTTAAAAAAAATCACCCCTTACAGTCTTAAGATATCTGTCCTGGAGGAACTCTTGGTCTTAGGTTTGTTGTTTATTTTATTTAAAGTTTTTTTTTCCCAGGTCTGTTTCTTTTTCTGTGCAAGTTCAGAATCCTTTTGCTGTTTTCCTGCCCTTTAATACAGCTCGATAATATATGATGTCCATGTTTAATACCTTTGTGTGTTTGTTGTCTTTTTTAAAGTAATGTTTAAACAAATGTCCTATCTTTTATCATCCTTGAATTTCATGTAGTTGACAGTCATGCTGCATTTTTTTTTTTAGGAGAAAACAATCAAGTATTATTCAATTCATGAATATTTTAATAGGGAAACATGTTTACATCAAAATTGATAATAGAAATGTATCCTGTTAGAATGTAAAGGTTTAACGTGGCTGTGTGCTGGTCAGCCTGATTTTCTTTTTGATAGACAAATCATATCACTTTACTGCGGAAATGGCACTTAAAACTTAAATGAGCCACAGTTGAATTGTATTTAAATGCATGTATCAAAAAGTGAGCAATTGCTGGGATTTTAATGGCTGAAAACATTTCTTTAAATGCGTTATTTTGAGAGGGAAATCATAGTTGCAGATGAGAAGTTGGCATATAAAACGGCTGGATCCACATTTATGGGGGTGAAGTAAAACAATTGTGCACTGATAGATACTTGCTTGGATTTTAGGGTGAAAGAAGAAGAAGAAGAAGGAGGAGGAGGAGAAGAAGTTAGTCTTAGTTGTCTGACTTGGTTTTGCCACCTCAGTTAAACAGAATGTTGCTCATCGCTGCTCCATGAAGAGTCTGTTCCTCAGTTTGATAATGTAACGTGCATAGTAGTATATGTTCTTCTCTGTAACTGGTTTTGATGTGAGAATCGTATTGAATAAAATGTTTGCAATTAAGGCTTTCTTTGGTATTATTACATGACAAGGTGTACAGTGATCTCAGATGACATAGCCTACAGATAAAGCTCTTGAGACAGTTCTAAAGTTTGTTATTTAAGACAACAATCAACAAACCCCCTGTTTGGAAACCATGTACTATTAATATGTCACAAATATGTTTTTCTACCAACATCAATGAGGTAGATTTTTATTTTTATTCCCACACATTTGCCCACATAAAAACACAGGCTAGATAAATTGGCTCTAAACGTAGTCAAAACTACTGAGCTCTCACTCAGATTTTTTTGGCAAAAAGCGAAGTATTCTTTTTTTGGCAGCGCGAAAGATAAATAATTACCAGTAATTTATTTGCGGCAGATTAATTAAATCACTTTGAAAACAACGCTGTTGAGAGAAAATTCAAACATGTGTTGAAGATCAAATCAACGCAAATATGAACTCAAAGCTTGTCCGCACTACTCTCGCAGAGCAGGAGATATGTTAGTGTGATGCATCTTAAAGCATAGACGATCTGTTCCGTGACGCATGTTTCGCGCGAAACTCAGTTTTGGAAGCTAAAAACAAATAGCGTCTTTGAAGAAGTTGAAAATGAGTAAGAAGGATAACGGTAAGACTTAGCTTGATGTCATTATGTGTTTGGCTGTAACGTGTTGTGGTGGCGTATCTGACCCCCGTATGAAGGACGGCGGTCGTATAGTTTCACTGAAATACAGTTTGAGCTCAGAAGCTATCACCTTACGTTAGCTACATATCCCTTATAATAATAAGCTAGCTCTTAAACAAGAGAGCTCACTCCAAATACGCCCACTTTTACAACAAAATACATTTATTTCAAAGAATCGTATATGGGGCGTATTTCTATAATGTTAAATAACATAAACCTTAATTGTCTTAAGCTTGTTAAGACCTAACATTAAACATAAACTACGATAATTAATAAGGGCTAACCTAACGCTTCCATTAAAGTGCGTCAAGGGCGGCATTTAAAAACAACCATTAAAGAACAAACAAATGTAGTTGTCATTTCTGGCTATGTTTGAGGTTTGTAGAGTATAATTGTTTGTACGCTGAGTTGATATTGTTCAAGTTACACCTGTAAAATTCAAAGCAACTCTTCCATAAATTCCTTACTTCGTGAAGTTTATAAAATCCAGTTTCGTTGACATTGTCAGACATGTGTAATTTGAATAATAATTTCATTATTGAGGTTGTATTTTTGCATTTTTGTTATAATGAACTACATTGTATTGAGATGTGTTTATAATAGTTTGGCCTCACTCTTTATAAGCAGAGGGGTATTACAAGTATAAATGAACGACACATTACAGGCACTGAGTGATTAATGTTGATGCATAATGTTAAAAAGACTTTTGAAATGTTTGTGTCCTTCCATATGATCACACTGAGCTGTCATCCACAGGCACGTCAGTCATCCTTGCATATCTGAATGAGAAGAACCGACCATACAGTTCTCAGGATGTATTTTGTAATTTACAGAAGCAGCATGGATTGGGAAAAACAGTGAGTTAAATACTTGCCACATAAATGCTTTTATATGTGTGTAGCTTACATTTAATGATTGTTTATTTGTGATTCACCAGGCAGTGGTCAAAGCTATGGATCTGCTGGCTCTAGAGGGCAAGATAAAGGAGAAATCATACAACAAGCAAAAGATTTATTTCGCTGATCAGGTGAGTCCTTTCATCTGAATACAGTTTTGTCATGGAAAGGTCAAGTAAAGGGCCAAAACGGCTGTTTAGATTCATCTTCTGCTGCTACCTTCCCTACAGTCTCAGTTTAAAGACGTGGATGATGTAGAACTGAAGGCGATGGACGCTCAGATTTCACAGCTCAGCGCAGACGTGCAGTCCATCACCCAGAGCTGCAGACAGATGGATGCAGGTGTAGTAAACTGCTTATCCTCATCCTATACCAGTTATACTATTCTTTTGAGACAGCCATACTATGCATTTTGTATGACTTCTTATAACATGCAATTCTAAAACTTTTATTATATTTTTTACACACCATACAAAACATTTCTGACTTTCTGTAATATTTATTTCTTAATTTTTGACATACTTACTTTTTTGCAACCTCTTTATAGCATTCTTTGAAGTTCTATTTTTATTAATAATATACTATGAGTTTTCTGACATTTCTATGATTTACTATACTTTTACTTTTTAGATAAAAAACATTCTATAGTAGGACTTTAGTATTACTATTTTTATTACATACAGGTTGGTGTCTCCAGACTTTCAGAAACAACACAGTTCTAAAGTTTGTGCATTTTTGTTTTGTTTACGACACCAGTATAGTTCAGTCAGACAACTCGCGTGTCTCTTTAACACGTGTATTAGAAGCAGCATATAGTTGAGTTTGGCGTCTAGGCTCGGCCCTCATCACTCCACAGATATACATAGCACGATGAGTGATGATCAAATAACTAAGCCCCAAAACTGCGTGGAGATTAGATACTATCCCCCAAAACTGCGTTGCCCGAGCCTGACGCTGGTGATGTAAGTCTGATAAGTAGAGGGCCTGGCGAGCTGCCACGTGGCCATTCCCCCTAAGCACAGCGGCTTTTAGGGGAATATACTACCTAGCGAGACCGCTATGTGAAGGCCCGGGAACGCCCGAAAAGCCATCCTCCTTAAGCACAGCGGCTTTAAGGGGAACATACTACTTAGTGAGACTGCTATGTGTAGGCCTGAGGAATAGCCCAGAGCCGATTCTTCCCCAAGCACAGCGGCTTTGAGAGGAATATACTGCCTATATACACTACCTAGTGAAGTGCTATGTGAAGGCACGGGAACAGCCCGAAAAGCCATCCCCCCTTAAGCACCACGGCTTTGAGGGGAATATACTACCTATCAAGACGGCTGTGTCTAGGTCTTGAGGCAGCAACAATGAGCTTCCCCCCCAAGCATGCAGCTATGAGGGGAATATACTATAATAGAATACATATAATCTAACCCAGCAACCACCTGGTATGCAATAACAGAATTCTACAGATATATATCTTTGAACGTTTACTCATTCATCGAGTAGTGCAAGAGTTCATGGTTGTTTGTGCTGAAAGGATCTCATTCCGGTGAAGCATGATATAGCGCTGGTGGGCCGAAGATGACAGACGGCCCAGGATACTCAGGGTTGAGGTAGGCGGATATAGAGCTGCAGTTGTGGCTGCGCAGATTCTTAAACAGTGGGAATAGCGATCTGGGGCCATGATTTTTTTATTGCATAAATTCTAAATAAATAATGTATTATTATGTTCATCAAAGATTTATCATCCGTCATATTAGTCATTTAGTTTATGATATATTCAGTTTAGGCAGAGATCGCGCAGCTTGGAGGAGAACCCTCGTCGTTGGGTTTGCAGCCATCGAATAAACATGGGTGCTGACCCATGTGTCAGAGGGCAATGATACGAGAAGTTCAGCATGGAAGATAAAGGAACAGTGTTAGTTTTAGCAATGATTATTCGGGGTTCCTTGACTCCCCAAACAGAACTGTCAGACATTGAATGTTTCAAAAACAGTGTGTATATTTGATCTCCAAAGTTAATTCAGTAAGGGAGAGATTATGCTGAGGATTAAAAGGTGAGAGGTCTGTGTATATTCGCCACCTGAGAAACCAAGAGAAAGCTGTAACAACTGCATCTGACATTTATCAATGTATAGTGAAACCCCTTTGTCTGAACTTATACATTAAAGTTAAGTCTTTGTCATTGCGTGGAGGACGTGCCTTCTTAAGGCCCTTGAGGAGCAAATGAATGAACTCTAGCGTGGCTTAATACTTAGCACTTGAAGATTGCAGGATTCAAATGAAAATACAATGAATGCATGAACAACTAATATATCTATTGCATAAGTACACAGAGGAGGTTGGGACAGAAGAAGATAAAGTACCAAGCTGAATTGTATGCTTTGAATCATGCTCTTGGTTGGAGGCAGAATATGGGAAATCCTTGAGGGGCTTGACGTGTAGATCCAGAGTCATTTGGTTGCGATCGAGTTTGTTCAAGGGAATATATCGTGGAATTAAAGGCTTCAAGCACTGATTTAACTTCGAGAAGGTAGGACCGGTTCCAGAGTCGGAGATAGCAATAGACATTTGCAAGGACAGCACCAGCAGGCAAGCAGCAGCGACGTGGAAGTAGTGTCTGGCAGGTTAAATAGAGCGACTCTGTTTGGCTAGTTGTAGAGTGGTATGAAGGCAGCACAAGTGCTCGAGTTGACTGCCTGAACTAGCTCGCCATGCTTAAGGTACCGTGTTTTTGTTTGAATGCATTATAAAAGGGAATGTTTTACATTGTTTGAAATCTTGGCTCACAGAGCTGAAGGAGCTCAACAGCGCCCTGACAACAGAGGAAGTGATGTCAGAGATGAAGGAGCTGAAAGCAGAGTGTTCGGGGTACAGAGCGCGCGTGGAGAAAATAAAGTCGGCCACAAATCACGTCACACCCGAAGAGAGAGAGAAGGTAAACATCTCAGAAACATACTCAATATACTTTAACTGATTTTTGCTGTATGGTGGTAAAATGCTCATGTTTTATTTACAGGTTTACACTGACCGGAATGTTTACGTGAAAGAGTGGAAGAAGAGGAAGAGACTGGTAATGTCCAAAGAGCTGATTGATTGGTTGACATTTGTTAAGCATCAGCTTCTCAGATACTGTATGTCAATCTGTGTTTCTTCTTTGTATTTGTAATTGGACAAAACAAGCAAACTGAAGAAATCACTATTTTTTAAAAATATTATTGTCTTCACTTTAAAACAAAGAATATATCATAAACTAAATGACTAATATAACGGATGATAAATCTTTGATGAAAGTAATAATACATTATTTATTTAGAATGTATGCAATAAAAAATCATTTGTAGACTTTCAACAGAAGAACACGAGCTGTTGTAACTAAACTCCTAAACTTAGCTGTGCTGTTTCTCTCAGGCTTCAGACATGATGGATTCAATCCTGGAAGGGTATCCTAAGAGCAAAAAGCAGTTCCTGGTGAGTGAAACCAGCTGTTCGGACCAACTCTCTGAAACTGAACTTTATGCCACCGTCTACAGTATGTGTGTTTTGCCTTCGTGCCAGTAATTATTTTTAATCAGTCATTATGGTTGTTTCCTTCGCAGGAGGAAGTTGGAGTTGAGACCGATGAGGACTGTAAGGTGGTCGTTCCAAGTACTTGAAATATCTAAAAAAAAAAGCTTGTTCCTTCAAGTCGGCTTAGCCACACTTAGCTAATAATATAGCTCACACCTCAGAGCAGTACGGGCCACAGTGCATTGTTTGTGTATAGTTGTACATCTTTAACAAACGCATATTTATACAAAAGAAGCTTCGGTTTGCGAGACTCAAACGTGGAATTTCTAGATTTACACATGCTTGTCACCTTATAGTTGGTTTAGTTGACCCTTTTTAAATAAAAGCCATGAAAGCAATCCTGAGTTCTGAGGGAAATGACAATGAATTAGTTATTAGCTTTGAGAGCTGTATGTTATTTTTCATGTGTTAAAATCCATATTGTTCCCTTTTTTTGGAAAACTGTAAATAAAAGACCTTAAGGGATTATGGCAGGCTGCCATGTTTTCCCCTCTTGTTTTGGTACTGTTTCTGGACTATGAAATGCTTCCAAGTTATTACATGTTCATGATAGTACTTGTCAATGAAGTGCCAACAGATATTCTCAAGTTCTTACTCGACTATATTACAATATTTAAGAGGTTCTTTTAGCTGGATGTTAGCCATTTGTATGATCTGTCCTTTTCAGCTGCACTTCATTTCCGTTAAACAGGACAATCGTTGAATGTGTTTTGACTTGTGGATTTCACTTTCAATGTGTATTTACAGTAGATTACATTTACAAGGCAACAAGACAGTCAAAAAAAGAAATGTCCCTGTGATTAAAGCAACAACACTGACTTGATATGGAAATGTCAAGGATTACATTTTACACAACTTAATTTTAAAACTGCTTATTGTAGACCACAGAAGAAGAGAATCGGCACTTTTTATTGAACATCTCCTGAAAAACGTTCATAAACATTGAATAACTATTTTAAACAGAATCTCCTCCCAATGTGCTTTGAAGTTCACATTTTATAAATAATTTTCTAAAATGGTTTATGCTGCCTACATTGCACAACTGTCATCCATGAGATTTAAGCATACATGTCAACTTGTGACAGATACATTAATAAACACTGCACGTAAAAGTAAAAGTTTTTCAAAGGTAATAGTGTATTCCCGTTTGCAGTTAGGAGAAACCCTCCAGTAGTATAGCATTAGCATGTTGTGCTCCAGAGAGGTATGGCTGACTCACGTGTGTGCACTGAAGCTGAGAGCAGCCATTAGCACCAGGACTTGGCTAACGAGGTGTTTTTTCCTTTAGCCTTCTCTATTTCTATTAGCTAGGTTTAATTACTATTATCAATCTGGGAGAGGAGTCTTGGTTTTGATTTATTTAAGTGCAACTGCGGCCAATTCAAACTAGATGCACTCTACAGTCTACACCTTCTTGTGTAAGTGATGCATTACACATATACATTCATTTGAAAACAGTTTTTTAACTTCTGAGTTTGTGTTCCCCTTGCATGTCGTAGCAGAGGCTGAAATATGAAGCTGTCTGTATGTACAGTGGAGGAAGGAAGTATTTGATCCCTTGCAGATTTTGTGAGTTTAACCACTTACAAAGAAATGATCAGTCTATAATTGTAATGGTAGGTTAATATAAACAGTGAGAGTAAGAATATCAAAGAAAATACAGATATTGACATTATATCAAAGAGAAACCCTTGTTGGACAGACAGGTCAGACACTTCTTGTAGTTGGTCTCCAGGTTTGTGCACATCACAGGAAGGATTGTTGTCCACTCCTCTCTGAAGACCCTCCTGAATTATTGTTTGTTGCAAGGGGATCAAATACTTATTTCCCAGTTAAATGCAAATCAATTATCTTTTATATAATGTCAATTTCTGGATTTTTCTTTGTATATTCTGTCTCTCATTAGTCAAATAAACCTACCATTAAAATGATAGACTAGTCATTTCTTTGTAAGTGGGTGAACTTACAAAATCTGCAAGGGATCAAATACTTATTCCCTCCACTGTATACATTCATTTGAAAACAAATGAAGTTTGTGTTCCCCCTTGCATTTCAAAGCAGAACAATCAGCAGAGGCTGAAATATACACAACGGTATGTATGTACAATACAATGAGGGGGGGATTTCTCTTAAAACACGTGACTGCTCAATCCAACCCGACGTCTCGTCTCGGCCCATAGTGTGAGGTTGAGGTAATCCAATTGCAGCCAGGGAGTCACTGGTGAGCCGAAGTGAGTGTAAATACTGGTGTGGCCTGAGGCTGATTGAAGTGTTGACCCCATGCCGAGAGGCCAGAGGAAGCCCAAAGTCAGTTTGCCTGAGAGTTGAGTCAATAAAGCTGTCCATTGAGCTGCCGGAGCACTCCCACGACAAACTCCCTCAGTGTCTAAGAGAGAACAGAAGAAGCACACAACCCGTGACTCATCTCATCATCAACAAAAAGCTACTTTGATCGAGTCTGATCTGCTGTCCAAAAGCGTCTAAAGTCTTCCATACCTGTGGCTCGCAGTGCTCCTCGATCCAGCTGAAGACGCAGGCGGAGAGCTCTTTGAAGCTGCTCACTGAAACAGAGTTGCTGAACGACAGGAACAGGGAGTCCATGATGCTCTGAAAGATGTTGAACTTGACCTGGTCCGACACCTGATCCTCTCCTTGCGCAGGGTGGTTCTGGTGGGCCTTCACGATGTGCTCATAGTTGCTATTTCAAAAGAAAATCACTGCATCTTAAGATATGCGATTCAATTAATAGCAACAACTGATTCCCTAATTGGTTTGAGCAAGTGTCACAAATACAATCAACACCAAGAACTATAGGATATCCTATTGCGGTTTTTTTATTGAACTTTTCACTATATGTTGTTTCATTGCTACAATTAAAGCATTTCTATCTCAAGATTGTATTTCATGTAAAAGATTAAAGGTGGGGTAGGTAATTTTGGAGAAACCAGCTCGAGTGCGCTAGAACTTGAAAATACACAGCCGGAAAGAATCTGCCACTTCCTTACGGAGCCCCTCCTCCAACACACACGAACGCGCACATGACCAATGAGGGCACGAGATAAGTTTGTGCACAGATGGAAGGCTGACAGGCAGGTAGGCCATCCAGTTGTTTTAGCCGGGCCGGCTCAGGGGCCTCATTTATAAAGGGATATACGCTCAAAAGATGGCGTACGCCAGTTTCTACGCAATGTTTGCGATTTATAAAATACTAACTTGACGGGAAAATGTGCAGTCCTCCACGCAAACTCTAACCCATGCGTACGCACTAAGCACAAAAACGGGAGAGACGAGAAACTGAGACACCATTGGCAGAAGGAAGAATGGAGAGAAATATGTGGAAATAATACCATAAATAAAATGTTACCTCTCATTTATCATATATGAAGAATTCATTTTCAAACATTGATTAAAGCTAATCTTAAAATGATTAAACAAACGCCTGTTTGCGACTCCTCAGTGCACACAATAACATAACTTGGAGAAATAAATAAATACGGATATGTTATTGAAAACCACCTCGAATATGTTGTGTTAATGTTATGAAATGTTTTCTCAAATGATGCGGTAAGCAGAAGGACAGAATTACGTCTAAACTGACGCCGTTTTGCATTTCTATAGGTTGTAGATACGAGCATGGTTTTATATACTATCATGTTTAATCGTGTTTTATGCCGTTTGCCAAGACTTGATAAGTCGCTCGTAAAACACAGGAGGTATGGAAACTAGGAACACCATATGTGGTACATTTTACAGCTGATATAACACAACACATTAGTTGTATTTCCTTTAACTGGTGGATATAGGGACGACAGCTGGAACACAAACCACCAAATACAAAAACATAATTCAGATCCAGTCGTCATGACTCCACACCGGGGGGATTCCCCGTTCACTTCTTACAGTCTCTCATCAAGGGGGGGTCTCCTGTCCCCGGTACAAACACACTGCCTGAGGAAGGCTATGTGTATTGTTTTTGTCATTAACCTTTTTCGGGCCATTTATTTATTTATTTTGGTGACGATCCGACCTCCATGCTGCTACTCTGGTTCAAACTGCATCCACCAAACAATATGATTTATCTCCACCTCCCCAAAATAACCAAAATCTGACACGGTGTGAGATGTCTTTTTTAGCTGTTCTGTCGTCATTTCCTGCGATCTTCTTCATAAAGTCAGTCAGAATGAATGAATGAATGGGCGTTTCTTTGACTATTTATAGGCAAATATGGGCGTTACGTGAAGCCCGCAAAAGCTGCACCGCATTTCGAGTCGGTTGTGATTTATAAAGGGAAACCGGCGTAGGAAGTGCCGTACGCACTTTCCTCGCCGGTGCGCAATGTTTGGTAAATCGGAACATTTCTGTACCTATTTTTTGGATTTCTACTACGTAAGCAACCTTCCCACGTGAATCCTACGCACGGCGTTATAAATGAGGCCCCTGATGATTGGTCATGCTTTTTACAGAACTACGGCTTCCACAGATGAAATGTTGTTATGGATTTTTTGTCAAAGCACTTAAGATATTCATTGCTATCGGGATGTTAAGAGCATTCCTTAGAAATGTTGTAGATGTTAAGAGCAACTCTTAGAAACAAAATTAATGACCTCTTGCCTTTGACCAGTATAGTGTTATCAACAGCTCCCGGAAACGTAAGTTCTAATATTACACTAGATAGTAAACTAGAATGCTTTTCAGCCATAAACCTTGAACAATTAAATTCAATGATTCTCTCTTCTAAACCATCAACGTGTATGTTAGACCCAATTCCAACTAAGCTGTTGAAGGAAGTTTTTCCATTAATTAGCACTTATTTATTAAATATTATGAATGTCTTTATTATCAGGCTATGTTCCACAATCATTCAAAGTAGCAGTGATAAAACCGCTTCTTAAAAAGCACAACCTCGATCCAGAGGTTTTAGCCAATTATAGACCTATTTCCAATCTTCCGTTCCTCTCAAAAATTCTTGAGAAAGCGGTCGCAAAACAGCTGTGTGATTACTTAAAAAACAATGATTTATTTGAAGATTTTCAGTCTGGCTTTAGAACACATCATAGCACAGAGACAGCTCTGGTTAAAGTCACAAATGACATTCTAATAGCCTCTGACAAGGGACGTGTCTCTATTCTTGTTTTGCTCGATCTCAGTGCTGCATTTGATACTATCGACCATGATATCTTATTGCAAAGACTAGAGCACTTAGTTGGCATACAGGGAACTGCTTTAGACTGGTTTAGGTCCTATCTATCTGAACGCTCTCAGTTTGTACGTGTCAATGATGAATCTTCCACGCAAACCAAAGTTAGCCATGGAGTGCCACAGGGCTCAGTGCTCGGACCTATTTTGTTCACATTATATATGCTTCCGTTAGGCAATATTATAAGGAATCATTCTGTACATTTTCATTGTTATGCGGATGATACTCAACTATATTTATCAATCAAGCCTGATGAAATTAATCATCTAAATAAAATTCAAGACTGCCTTAAGGACTTAAAAACGTGGATGACCTTAAACTTTTTGATGTTAAACACGACCAAAACTGAAGTTATTGTACTTGGCCCGAAGAATCTACGAAACAAATTATCTAAGGATATATTAACCATGGATGGCATTAATTTGGCCTCCAGTGAGACTGTAAGGAATCTTGGTGTTATATTTGATCAGGATTTATCCTTTAACGCCCACATAAAATCAATTTCAAGGACCGCCTACTTCCATCTACGTAACATTGCAAAAATCAGGCATATCTTGCCTCAAAACGATGCAGAGAAACTAGTCCATGCATTTGTTACTTCAAGGCTGGATTATTGTAACTCTTTATTATCAGGGTGTACCAAGAAGTCAGTCAAGTCGCTTCAGCTGATTCAAAATGCTGCAGCTCGTGTACTAACCAGAGTTAGGAAAAGGGACCACATTACTCCTGTTTCTGGCTGCCTTACACTGGCTCCCTATAGAACACAGGATAGAATTTAAAATTCTTCTTCTCGCCTACAAAGCCCTTAATGGGCAGGCGCCATCTTACCTTAAAGAACTCATTATACCCTACTGTCCTACTAGGGCATTGCGTTCCAAGAATGCAGGGTTGTTGGTTGTTCCTAGAGTCTCTAAAAGTACAATGGGAGCCAGAGCCTTTTCTTATCAAGCTCCACATTTGTGGAATCAGCTTCCAGTTTGTGTTCGGGCGGCAGACACCCTATCCGTTTTTAAGAGTGCGCTTAAGACCTTCCTTTTTGATAAAGCTTATAGTTAGGGCTGATTAGATTCAGCCCCTAGTTTTGCTGATATAGGCTTAGTTTGTCGGGGGACATCTTACTTCTTCCTTCTCTCTGCCTATACCTGTGTACTCTCATGTTCCGATTAACCCAGCTTCCCCAAATGTCTTTCTTTTTGGTGGCTATATACGCCGGGATCCGGAGTCATGGATGATCCTGCGCTCCTCTGTCCTGGATCTTGAGTCGTGGCTGTGGTCCTGGATCATAGATCCTGGATGGATATCCTCGTGGATTCATCTTCCTATTATACACACATGCATTTCCAAACATTTGGACTACCTATGTTGCAAATGTATTATCTTTTCAATTTACACACGGCATCTATTGCACGTCTGTCCGTCCTGGGAGAGGGATCCCTCCTCTGTTGCTCTCCCTGAGGTTTCTCCCATTTTTCCCTTTAAACTGTGGGTTTTCTTCGGAAGTTTTTCCTTGTACGATGTGAGGGTCTAAGGACAGAGGGTGTCGTATTGTCATACTGATATTTTGTACAAACTGTAAAGTCCACTGAGACAAATGTAACATTTGTGATATTGGGCTATATAAATAAACATTGATTGATTGATTGATTGATTCCATGGAATATAACAAAAAGTGTATCTCGAGCCGGTTTCTCAAACTTACCTACCCCACCTTTAACACAATTATTTGTATATTATATATATGTAATTGATTTGCCTGAGCAGAACAAGTAGGGAGGTCTTAGTTTGCCAGCAAACCTGACTGTAGAATACATCTTGGGAAAAAACATTGCTTAGGTTGTTTCAATTCAAATTCAAAGGTTTGACCGTCATATGCACATGCTGTAAGCTACAGTGTAGAAATGGCAATGAAAATGTTATGACCCGAGCTCCTCCAACAATGCAACATAAAATAAAATACAAAATAGTGCAAGAAGTCTATATACAAGTAAATAGAATATGACAAGAAAAGAATGTTTATGAATCTCACGTTTTCATGATTTTCAGCGCCATCACTTCTTTCCTTAGCACAGTTACTTCCTCCTCTTGCTTCTTCTTTTCTTTATGAAGGAAATGGATGTAGTCGATTGCTGCAAAGAAGCACAGAGATGTTTCCGTGAGGGATTTCTTCACTCAACACAGATTTAATTGTCCATTTGCCAAGAGGTGTTATCCCCATATACCAAATGCAGCTACTTCCTCTTTTTCACTTCTTTAATGAAGACATTTGAGCAATTGCCGACATCTCTGTTTCAATATTTCTATTGATATATGTTTCTTTCTTTTTGTAATTATATATGTCTGTAACTGCTTTGTTCTCTTCAATTGTTGTCTTTTTTGTTTCTTGGTGTAATGTGAGCAGGAACTGTAATCCTGGGTTACAAGCTCATGCATGTTTGTATCACATGACTGAAGGGAGAAGAAAAACAGTGGCTTGACAGGAAAACTACTTTATAATAATACTCCTACAGAAAACTCCCTTACTCCATCACTGACCTTCACCCATGTTGTCCTATATATCATCTTGCTCTAATAAAGCTGCAATGCAATCCAAGAAATGCAATATTCTCAAGGATGAGCTACATCTTACTTTTCTGTAGCACGGTGGCCTTGCTGATCTTTTGCGCTCCCACTGCAAAGTCAGACTGCTGCAGGCAGGTTGGTACTATGGACTGGAGGTCATCGTAGCCTTTCTAAAAAAAAGATAAAGTACTGATTAAATTAAAATATATAACTGTAAAGCTTTTCCGAGGATTGTGAGGTGAGACTTACCTTGATAGCATCCCTGCGTTTCTGCTCAGCCTGTGTGTGCGCTTGTCTCCGCCGATCTTTATACGAGTCCTTATACGACGTCTCGTGTTTGTTATCACTGTCTTCATCATCTATTCGAGAATACATCAACACTCAGATTTAGAAACCGCAGCAGACCGCTGACAAATGCACAACGTTGATATTATTGGTGGACACATAATGAGGATAAAGCATATTTATTTGGTCTAAACTCTAAAGCCATAGCAAGATTTTATGGGATTTAAAGATGAATTTATAGATTTACTTAAAATGAATATCCTGGAGCTTTAGTGTTTTTCTTTCATTACAGAAATAAGTACACATTGGACCATTATTTTTCATCCAAGCAGAATTCAGAGAAGCTAATTGTGTATGCTTCAATAAAGTTCAATCTATGAATAAAATGCACTTTAAACTGGCATGGCTAGTCATTATTTGACAGATGCAACCCATAAAACCCTGTTTGTAACGCCCGTTATTAAAACAAGAACTGTCCTTTGATATCTTATTAAGAGACCTTTTGAAAGTTGTTTTTATGACACACTATATCTTGACATCTTTATTGCGTACTTCACTATGACAATGTTATAGCCTAATATATCTAGAATGGTTCTACGTGTTCTAACTGCAGTACATATTCTCCCTTCAATAATGTGAGTTTCACAGTGTTACAAACAGTATACCTGTATTGGGTACTGAAGAGGCGCTTGTCGAGCCGATGCTGTTGGCTCTGGACACAATAGAACCCTTTCTGCCCGTTTCAGCAAAGAAACCTATAGAGCAGGACAGACGACATAAAAGATGTTTCACAGTGAGGCAAGACAAAGATTGACAGAAAGACAAGGTCACTATCACATGGCCAAGAAATAGGATGTGAACCGACTGAATACTCACTAGGGTCAAAGCCACTGTCACTGAAAGCTCCGTCTGTCTGCAGAGTCATCACAACAGGAGATGGAAAACATATAAATTAGATGAGGAGATTTTGGAAACAAAAAAGGGCAAACATCGTGATGCCCTAAAAAACAGTAGTCGAATTATCTAGCCTGCGCGATAGACAGTCTAAACCCCCGCTGAGCATTGCCCTAATTACACAAATGATACCAAATCACAACATGCAGGAGGATACAGAGGTGCAGCCAATCACTACTTCAATCACAGATCCACTTTTTAATGTAGGGCACCAAAACACACAAGTAGCCGTAGTGTTTGGTTCCCCCATTCAAGTTGAGTTTTTATCCAATAATTCCAGAAGGTAAACTCAGTGATCAGCCTCTGTATCTGTAAAGCCCTTGCACGAAAGGTGCTATATAAATAACGTCTATTATTATTATTATCTTTAGGTTTGATAAACAATAGACATTCACTCAAGTTGTTGTACAATGCTGCATTGAATTGCAGTCTCTGGGTCACCTGATGTGTAAGATTTAGACAAATGATATAGTTTGCAATTAAAAAAGTGCTGAATTTTCATTAAATATTCATATGAAATAGAAAACGCAATAAGAATCCTATAAAAATGAAAGAGGTGTGTCATACTTGTACAGTGTAGTTATGCAATGCAGCATTTACTTTTGGAGTCATTATTTACCATGATGTGGATGTTATTTAAATGTGATCAGATTTCTCAATTGAAAAAAACGTTTTTTGTTGAAAATGTAAAAAACACTAAAAGGCAAAATAAATAAATAAAAATTGAGCAAAAAACTGCCAAATGTTATTAAAGTATTCATATAGCTTAAAACAATAACTTAAATGTAATAAAAAGAAACGTGTCTTATTTAAGAGGAGATAAGATATGCTTTATTAACCCCAAATTGGGAAAATGTTTTTGTCACAACAGCATTCAAAAATTAAATAATAACAAGGCATTGCACAACATCACATTCACAACAGTCGTTGAAAAAGATGTACCAAAAACAGGTATTATTTAGTTAAAAGACACCGCTGGATCCAGAGTAGATGTCGAATATCAAACCTTAAAACTAACCTACCGCAGTTGTAAACATAGTCCATTTCAACCCTAGGTCTTGCTACATGTTTATTAGACCATAACTACTCTGACCAAAGGTTTATCTCCCTCTACCTCTAACATCATCATATTTATAGGTTCCCCGAATTAAAACACAAAAAAAAGGTTTCACATGGGTTAACAACATCTTTACCGAAATATTTCGATACAGCTTTATTTCAATAAAAAGAGCTAGATTATTACATTGACTATCACGTCACAAAGCCTGGTAATAGCTTTTGCCAATTGCTTCTGACAAGGGAAAGGGATCTAAGTCATATCATGAGGGCATACATTGTTCTTGTTTCACACTATTGTGGTGGGGCTACAAAAACAATGCATTTCTGAGACAATTTAAGGTGCTGCACCACATTTGACTTTTAATGAATATGCACTTCGCTTTCACATGGACGTTAGAAACAATGCAATGTTAAAACACAAATGTTATTTAATGTGGGTGCAGATACGTGGAACACTAGTTTCCCCTTTCAGGACGATTTGTTTACTTAACGAGCTAACAGCTAATAGCTCTATGACGTTTGCAAACTGTCACCTAGCTAGCGTTAGCTTTTTAGCTAACAAAGCCCTGCTCCTTCTTCGTGTTAGCAAAACTTCAACTTATAGATATGACATGTATCCACATATCAGTTCCGTCACACATCAGACGTAAGAACTAACAAAAAGTTGTTGTCACCTAACATTACTTACTTTCCAGTGATCCTCGGGCGACGTTGTTGGGTCCGTCATTTTGAAATGTAAAATAAGCTCTGCTGCTGCCTTCGAGTGCTTCTCGTATTTCCTACCAATGTTGCCGAAAAGTATATAATTATTTCAAATATCAAACTTAAAAAATAACTCCACACAGACCAAACGATGTCAGATAGTAAAAGAGGTTTGCTCCTTGAATTAAAAAAATTGTCCGCGACTAACTTTCATATTATTCCCCAAATCGACATTTTTCTTGTGCACACGTTTGTCAAGAACAGGTCAGCTTCATCATGAAATGTTACTGTTTGTAATAGTATTAACTAGTAAACCGTTATTTCGTTACAGGGTCCATGTCCTATGCATTTATTTGCACATATTGACTGTTATATTTAGCTAGGTAGGTTATAACTCTGATTTCCCAGGAGACCGCGAAGGCAGCAATTATACATGCAGAAGTTGGCTTCAAACGCTGAGTGGCGTTGTTGTACAATCTTTCCTCTTACCTTGTCGCTCTGGGAAATCTACTCTTACCTGACTTCCACATCAACCTGGCCTAACATGAAGGAAAGTGACTAAAACAAATGTAAACCCATGCAAATTAAACACTCTTTAAGATAATAATTGAATGTCAGTGCAATGAAAGTTAATTCATGGGAGAACGTTTATTTTGGCTGTTGGTTCATTTTGCTTTGTTTCTTCTGCACCTGCTGGGTTAGCATTTCTCCTTAAACTTCAGCCATCTTTCTGCTTTCCTTCCTGTGCAACATTATTTTACTCACCATCACCTACCACTATAGTAGTACAAGCACAACAGTTAACATGTTTATTTTCCACCTTGTCCTCCACCCCAGCTTCTGTTGCTGTCATGCACAGGAAGTTACTCTTCTGCTTTTGTGCTTCTGCGGTTTATGTCTGTGTTACAGAGTGTGTCACACTCAACTCTCCTTCCTCTCACACGCAGCCCTCTCTAGTCACTCTCCAGGGGAGTTCTCGGTCAATATGCAAGTGAGTGAAACTAGGTGGGCCTTTTGCTAGAGCAGCAGGCCCCCACAAGGCGTGGTGCCTTATTCTCAAAGGTACTTGAAGACCGAGAGGAACAGGTTGATGGGAGGACAAACAAACCTTCTTTCATCACCCAACCTGCCCTCAGGACTCATGTGGATTTAGTGAGGCTTGGTGTTCAACTCCTAAAGGCCAAAATACTTGGTTTCTTTAGACCTTCTTGTTGTTGTCAATCAGAGTGATCAGTTTGTGTCACTCTGTTTTGAAGCACACATATTTCTCAGAAGTTTGTTTGTGTTAAGCTTTCCTCCTGGATTACTTGTGGAGATTCGTGATGGGGAATGTGGCCACAGGGGCCCTGGAGCAGGAACAGACTGAGGGCCGAGAGGCCAGAACCTCAGTCGGAGGAGCTTCAGGAATGGGAGAACCCACTCCAACTTTGCAGAAGAAGCAGCCGGCTCCCCCCAAGTTGCCCATGCCCCCAGAGGAGGAGCTGGAGGAGCGCTTCAATGTGGTGCTGGTGAGTGGACAGGCACACACCTTTACTGCACACAAAAATAGAGATTATGCACTTGGTGTATTAACAATAGCAGCTAGGGTTTTGTAATAGAGGCTAAATGTTAGATATATGAAAATTATGCAGGTATATGATTCAGAGTCACAAACAACTTTGCAATTGCCCTGTTTGAAAACGTGTGGGTTATGACTGATTTATGCCACCAAAAACCATTTGAACTAAATACAGACTAAGTGATGGCAACATTTCCCATTTTCTTAGATATTTTTTCAAATATCCAAACACTGAGGCCCATTTTCTTTCAGGGCCAGATGGCTACATTTTACAAAATGTCTGCTTTAAATGCGATCCAGTGAAGATGTCAATTTGCCAATGTGTGTTTTCAAAAAAGATCATCAATAGCTGTTCAGGGACAGGGTGATTTAGTGCATGCTCAGGCGGCTGGCCCCAAGGGGAAGTTGAGCAACTTATTTACATGAGTTAGACCATAAGACCGGAAAGCAACAGTTCCACCACTCTTTCAACATCCTTGCATCAAGGAAACAAATCCCAAATCTGATGATGAATACTTTAATAGTTTGAAAAACCATTAAGAATAACACATCAAAACATATGAACTAGAATATTGTATTGATGATAAAGCACTAAAATGTCAAGGGGTGTCAAGAACATTTTGACACCCCTCATGCTTTATCTCAGATTGTGTCTTGGGCCTCGACAATTGTATATATAAAGTGCCAACAACCAGCCTAATATAACCATGATATTTTATACCTTAAATAAAATAATCAAAAAAGTGTTGATGATTTTTTTTAAATGTCAAATATATAGTTCTTATTTAGGCTTCCACATTATACATGTAACTTTGTTCATGTTAAGATTCACTTGACTTTTTCACATATGTTTACAAAACTTCTGAGAGTGTCATGCCACAAGAGGACATGAAATGTAAGTGTGGCTTTGCTCTAACGTTAACCATCTCAAAATATCCGTTTGACATGTTTTGCTCGGAAACGGTGGCCTGTGCCATTTGTACCTACAACGCCCTCACTGGCGTTGCATGAAAGTATGACCTCACTTCCTCCACCACATATTCAAACTTCCGAGCGAGGCTGTACCTTATTTTATTGTAAGAATTCAGGATTGATTGTTTGCCTAAATAAAACATTTTCCAAACTTAGGGAAATGTATATTACTTTATGTTCATGTAAGTTCATGCAAGTAACATTTCCTTTGTTAAGTGTTGTACCACAAAACCCACAACAGGACTCCTCCCTTCCCCCACCAAAGATGAAGCTTTATTTCACCACCAAACCACTGCTTGAATGTACACACTTATATATTTTATATTTAGGATACACACCCAGTATCAATTGATAATTCGTTATAATCATGACTTTTCTTTGTATTAGCTGCATAACCAATGACAGGTGTAGAGCGCAGCAGTGTTGTGAGTGTAAAGGAAGATTGTATAAAAAATCATATAAAACATATAGAATGTAATTATTCCCAAACAAGTGTTACAAAAAAAAAAAGTATTTAATTAACGGCTTTTCATTTAAAAGAAAGTGATTGAGAACCCTACTTGCTCCAATACATGTTTCAAGTATCTTGCACTTTAATAACTTATGACATTTTCTTCTCCACAAAAACTCCCCAATTAGGTTCTGAATAATCCATAATACTTAATGTGGGTTCATTAAATAATTCAGTTCTTACAACAATTTGAGTAGGGAAATAACCTTTTTCTATCAGTCAAATATTTAACAGTAGGTGGAGGGAGATAAGTGAAACTGCCCTTTTTGCGCAAAATGTCAACACTTTAGTTGGTTGAGTCAACCGGCACCAAAAGGTTCTGGATGTGGGGAGTTCTTGATGCGTGTAGAATACCATACCAAAGATGATGTTATGAATTATGAATCTTGGTTAGTCCTATGACATTTTTGCCATACTCTTATTAAAACAATGCCAGTGTTTTAAAGACACAACAAATATATACAAAATAATAAGTGTGTAATAATGGGCCTTTTTTCAACAACTTTATCTTCACCAAATGTTGCATGGTGATTTAAAAGTTGACATCATTATTACACCACCACATGTCAGTTCCTTCATTTCTTAGAAGTTGACACGAGTAAGCGTTGGTGCGTGGTGCCTACTGACAACCATCAATACATGCATGCAAACATGAGTCATCTGTGTTTCCGGCAGGTATACACCCTTTAGAAGGTACATCTGTGGTTTGGTTGGATTGAAATTTGAATATTGTTGCCTAAGCAAGAAAGATAAAAAGATTACAACTTTTAAATGTGGTGCTGAATTACACTGGAGGTGTTAAATTGTAGAAAACAAAGCTCAACGTTTTTTTTTTCATCCAGTCATATTCTTGCATATATTAATGAGCGTCTTTCTGACTTTTTCAGAGCTACATGAACTTGCCTCCAGACAAACAAAAGCTGTTGAGTCAGTATGACAATGACAAGAAGTGGGAATTAGTCTGTGATCAGGTAAGAACTTGTTTTTTTTACAGATAAAGAGCTGCTTTCACAATAAAACCCAACATATATGTTGCAAAAATAATCATGAGTCAGGCAACTTCTTCACTGAGATAGAGTTGACACAAAATACATAAAAACCCAAATTGGGTATGTGGTAAAGAGCAGAGTGCAGTGTGAAAACCTTGCAGCACAGTTTCTGTGGTGACAACTGATGGCGTCGGCATGGAAACAGTGAGCATTTGGTGCCTGTTGTGTTAACAAGGGGAGGCAATAATAGCTTCAGATGTGCCGTCTCAGTCCAGTCATCTCAGTGTTGCTGATCAAATTGAATCAAAAGGTACTTTGACTCTAAAACGTCTTCCTCAGGAACGATTCCAAGTGAAAAGCCCCCCGTCCAATTACCTGAATAAGATCAAGAGCTTCTACCAGGATCAAGGAGGGGTGTCTCGCAGGGTCAGTGTAAACGACCACCTTCTTTTCATATTTAACAAGTCTTTAATTTTCTATCTGAACAAAAAGGATGTCTTAATTCTCACCTCTTCTGCTACTTTAGCTAAAGAAAAAGATTCAGGAAGCCACACAGGTCCTGAAAGATCTGGAGATATCACTTCGCACCAATCACATTGGGTGAGCATTAACAGAATGATGATGTTCAAACACTCCGTTTTCCCTGTTATTGCCGCCAACTATCAATCTGTGGAAGAGATAGTGATGACATGAATATCTTTTGGATTACCAATGTGCTCAGCAATGGTAACACATTTTCCTCCGTTACAAACCAGTGGCAACCTCCAGGTTTGAAAACTGGTTGCAACAAGAAGTGATATTTTATTGTAGTCTATGAAAAGATGACCCCACTTCTCACTTCATACATTTATTACCAAAGTTAACATGTATAAGTCTTCTTCAAGACAGCTAGAGGCTTATTTTGTAAATAAAAAAATGGACAGGGCTTGTAAATGTTGAAGAAATACATAAACAAATATATTATTATTATGGTTAATGTTCAGTTGGAGTCAGTTGGAGTACACACACAAACACAAACGCACATGAAGTCAGCAAAGTACTGGATTGAGCAATAGCGCGGTTTATTGATTATGAATTCAACATTTCCCACGTAATGTTATTTCTTCTTTCTAAATAAACAAACTCTTGCTTCACGTCTAATCTAAGTGCAACATCTTTAAGATATATTTACAAAGCATTTCTTTATCAGTGTTTCATTCGTTCGCCATCCTTTTTTTAAACGGTGGTTCTTTTTGTAGATGGGCTCAAGAGTTTCTCAACGAGCAGAATAAAGGTTTGGATGTCCTGGTGGAATACCTGTCCCATGCACAAAGTGATGCCTCGTGAGTACCAGTGTGGTTTAAAATCTCTCCGAAAATGACGATGCTCTTACAAAGTGACTATTTATCATAATGTATCTTATTGATCCCTTTAGGTATGACGCGGATAGTGCTGAAAATGGTGGCAGCCTGTCAGAAAGAAGAAAGCCAGCAGAGAGGTCGATGGAAGACTTGACCAAGAGCCCCAGCAGCTCTCACTCACATGGCATGACCAGAGCTGCTCGGGCTCTGACTGTGAGGTAAGAATCTCCAGACATCAACCATTAGTGAGGAACAGCAACTATGAGGGTTCCAGTACACAGAAATGTATAATTAATTATACATAAAGTGCACTCCACATCAAGATTTCCTACTAAAGAGGAACGTTCAGCTTCTAAGGTTGCATGCATAGTCAGACAATAGACTCACTAGGCAGAAGTGGTGTGGTGGTGCTGTATGACAGAGGTCATGCCATATCATTTTCTTAGTTCAAGGTTTTTATTTTGTCATACGAACATAGCTACAGTGTAGTTATGACGATGACAATCTTAGGTCACAGGCTCCTCCAACACTGCAACACCATAAAACAGATACACAGAAACATAGTGCAAGTAAATACAAAAATAGTTTAAAAAAGTGAAATAGTGCAATAAGAGTCTATCTGCAAGTTATTGGAATATGATATATTCAATAAATAGATACATCATTTCTAAGTAGCAGATGAATGTTATGGTTGTTTCAACAGTTCAGGTGTTTAACAGATGTTGTTTCAACAGTTCAGTTGTTGTGGTGCTGAACTGTAAACTGATCGGTTCCTTTTTGCAAATAACCTGCAAGATCTACAAAACAGTTAAACAAATTCTCTCATAAAAAGTGACAACCTGAAAGATCAACCAAGCGGAGAAAAATACAATTTGAGACGAACAGTGCGGGAAGCTAAAGGTCTTTTTCACTGAAAACATAGAAACCATTTCAATAAAGAGTACCAATACGTTATTTCCATGGCCTAGGAAAGTTAAATCAATATTTGTAAAAATAAGTATTGCATCTCAAAGTAAGAATGATTGATTTTGTGAATGCACAGGATGTTTATTTACTTTTTCCATCCCCAAATGTGCTTTGTTCTATTATAGTGTTCTCATTTTTATGACATAAAATGTTCCCATATTCTCAGAACATTGCCTTTGGTGATGTATAACACCTTTTTCCAATTCAATGTCCATGGAGCCATTTCAAACTTACTAATAACAACTCAATTAGAGATTTAGCACCCTAGTTCTTTTGGATTAGGGTTGAGAGGTGTTCAATTTCTCACACTGCATTCATTCACACTATTTGTTGAGTTTTTTATTCTTGGTTTTCCTTTCCATCTGATACCACATTTCAGCTGTCAGACAAACACAGTGGATGTCCAAAACAGCCCAGGGAGTGTTGTTATAATTGGCAAACTGCTGTTCTGGGCCTCAACTTTAAGCCATTTGCACATACAGCCGCTTCACCTTCTCTTTCCCTCTCCTCAAGAAATGTATTAATGTGTCTATTCACCTGTTATCCCTCCACAGAATAAGCTCCACTATTGGGAACAAGATTTATAAGAAATCCCATTCATCCTACCAGAGAGATGATGTGCATGTGTGCATAATGTGCCTGCGAGCCATCATGAACTACCAGGTAAAGCCTCCTAATCTGATTCCCTTACAGTGCAGTATGTGTCCAATACATAAAGTGTTGCATAAAAACATGCTCTCAAACAAGTTTCTTTTTAGCCAGTGAGCTGACATAAACCAATGTTTTTCTCAATGCTGTTTCACTTTGCTTGGTAGAAGTAAAACACATTTTGAAATCGAACTAGTTGCTTTTATAATGTCGTTTTTCTCAAACCAAACACAATCATTTGTCCTGCATCCTTAAACACAGCAGCTCTCTTGGGCACCAGCTGTTTAAGCTTTCCTTCTGTTTTCAGTCTGGTTTTAACCTGGTGATGACTCACCCATGCTGCGTGAACGAGATCACCCTCAGCCTCAACAGCAGGAATCCCAGGTGTGTGCATCTGTGTGAGACAAAGTGTGTGTTATCTGTGTGCCTGTATCCCTCTCTAACCCCTTCCTATGCTGCAACAGGACCAAAGCGCTTGTGTTGGAGTTGCTGGCTGCAGTGTGTCTGGTCAGAGGAGGACATGACATCATTCTGTCTGCTTTTGACAACTTCACAGAGGTGAAATACGTTTTTGTTAAAGATATTTATTTTACTGTTTTGACTCTGACCGTTGTTTGTTCAGGCATACCGTTGTCCTAGACTTCCTCTATTTTATAACTCATGTTGTGACTGACACATTCCAAGCCTCACATGCACTTTGGGGATAATTTTAGCACTTATAGAGCATGTGGGTGTGATTGCAAAGGCCATTCAAGGGTAAGACCTATATCCTATTTGTGTATCTTAGATCAGCTATGTAAAGGATATCACCCTTCCGCCCCCCTGTGGGCAACAATTAAAATGTTTCCATTTCTTTCTCAGGTGAGCAGAGAAAGGAACCGCTTTGAGAAGTTGATGGAGTACTTCATCAATGATGACAGCAACATTGACTTCATGGTAGGTCCACACATTTTCGACCTAACACTGGTTGATTTCTTTATTAACAAATAAAGGGACCTTTAAATGATTGATGTCATTGAGTCTTTACTGTCCTTATGTTTATCTCCAGGTTGCTTGCATGCAGTTCATAAACATTGTGGTCCATTCAGTGGAGAACATGAACTTCCGTGTTCATCTGCAGTTCGAGTTTACTTACCTCGGATTGGACAAGTATCTCGGGGTAAGTAACAATTATATCTTAGGGGTCAGTGAACACAGCATGGGGAGCATTTATCAGCTAAACAGGCAGATCATTCCCGGAGGAGATGGTACAGTAAAGTCTGAAAACAGAGATACAAAAAAGGTGATATTTGTTACCAGATACTCCAAATGAAAGCTTATGTTGCACAGGAGCAACATGATGTGGTGTTAAGCTTTGTTTGCTAACATATTAGCCATTGAAGGTGTTTTCATGTTTATGCATGTCCCAGTGTTTTCCATCTGGTTAGTACTAATGCCCTTTCTCTTCCTTATTTATTAGGATGTTGATGCTGCATGCTTATCCAGTTTCCCTTTTTATTGCAGTGATCAAATAATGACTTCCCTTCTTAACTAGAGGCAGATAAAAGATTAGTCAATTAATCGTTCAACAAAAACTAACTTTTGTTTATTGAACACTTATTTTGTTAACTTTTTCAAATAGGAATGTTCTGGTTTAAGCTACTTCAATTATGACTTTCTGTGTTTTCTAATATTGTTAATTGAATATTTTGGATTTTGGACTGTGGTCTAATAATTGATCTCTCCCTGGGAAACTGAATTTGAAATTTTACAGAATGTTCAAACATTTTATAAACAAATCACATAATCAATTAATCTGGCGATTGTAATCAATGATGAAAATAATAAATGAGTTGCAGTCCTTACAGTATTAACTGCTAAAAACAGGTACATACAAATGTATCAAATAACTGTATTTGTCTAGTTTCTGTAATTAAAAAATATTCTATTATCCCAATATAAAGTCCAATTGAGTTGACCCCTATGCCAGTATGGACATTATTGCCATATTTATGTGTTAAATAATTGTCTGTGTCTGTGTGTTAGCGTCTGAAGCAGACAGAGAGCGAGAAGCTGCAGGTTCAGATCCAGGCCTACCTGGACAATGTGCTGGATGTTGGAGCCCTGCTGGAGGACGCTGAGAACAGGGGGGGGGTCCTCGAGCATGTGGACGATCTGCAGGAACACAACGTACAGGTCAGCTATTCAAATAAAAGACAGATTGCATTCTTGATCAGATAATGTGATGTTAAAGCGATGATCTCTTGGTTGCAGCTGGGAGCCCGGCTTGAGGAGATTGAGAACCAGAGCACAGAGAAGATATCTGAACTTGAGACTCAGCTTATGCAGGCCACCAAGGAGACGGAGCTGCTCAAAGTAAGTGCCCCCCCGTCACACCAACACACTTTAATGAGATTAATTAGACAGCAAGGTGGGCCATTCTCACAGTGATTCATTATAATGAGGTCAAAGGAGTGGCAGTTCACTTTATTTTCATAATCATGATATGAAAGTAAAATCTAATTATCTTTAATGTGAAAAAAGAAAGATTTGCACTTGTCAAATAAATCTTGAAATGACCTTGCATTTGACCACTTCTATGGAAGGCAATTGAAATACCATAATAATTATTTGAGATGGAGATTACATGTTACGCAATAATGATTCTGTGAGTATTCATACTAATGACATTTGTGATCCCCTGAATTTTCCTCTAGCGCCATCATCAGTTTTAGTTCTAGAGTTATTGAATTCTGATTGTAACGGTAATTCTTTAACTGTTAGTTTATCACCATGACAAGGTCAACATTTTATTTGGTCTAATTCTTCAGTTTATGACCAATTCCTGCAAAACCAAATATATTATTTTTGTGTTTGAATCTTGTGTCAGAACATTTCTCATTCAACCCCTGTGTGTTCAAATAAAGGACTCAACGGAAATAGCTTTGCGGATCTGAAATGGAAGACGTGTTGTTGAGGTGTGTGTGTGTGTCTGATAGGAGAGCCTGCAGCAGTCCTGCTCCCAGGTCAGTGCGCTGCAGCAGAGGGAGAGGGAGCGGGAGCTGGAGCGGGAGAGGGAGAAGGACCGGGAGCGCCTGAGCACATCCGCCCCCCCCACCTCCTCAGAGCTGGAGCAGAAGGTCCAGGAGCTGCAGGACCGGGGGCTGCTCCGCCTGGGACGCAGCGCCTCCGGGGGGCTGGACATCCAGGTGGTGCCTGTCACCGTGGTGGAGTACATCCAGACCCCCGCACCCCCAGCCGCCCAGCCTGGTGTCTCTGTCACTGATTCTGCTTCCCCACCCCCTCCTCCTCCTGGTGGTCCAGACGGGCTGGCCTCTCCGACTCCTCCTCCTCCACCTCCTCCACTCCCTCCAGGAGCAGGACCACCACCCCCTCCTCCCCCACCTGGCGCCGGACCCCCACCTCCACCTCCCCTACCTGGTGTTGGACCCCCACTGCCGCCTCCTCCGCCCGGTGGTGGACCTCCACCCCCCCCTCCCCCACCTGGTGCTGGACCCCCACCTCCCCCGCCTGGTGGTGGACCTCCGCCTCCACCTGGAGCACCAAACGCTCTATCTGGTAACGATAACCCTAACCCTATGCTGATGTAACTGATTTATTGCTGGGGACTGCTGCCAATTTCATGTTGTACAAACAGCTGATGGCTGGGGGTGTGGGTGGGAGAGGTGAAGCTAACTGTCTCTCTGTATCTGTGTATTTGCAGTGGATGTTATATAAGGCTTGTGTTTGCATGTGTTTTATCATTTTGTATTTGTCTCTATAGCAACTCCTTCAAAATGACATGCGCCATCTTAAGGGACTATACCTTCAATGAATGGAAATCTTATTTGTTTGATGATTCTCCTTTTCTTGTTTCATAAGGCGTCAAGAGCAAGAAGCCCATTCAGACCAAGTTCAGGATGCCGTTGTTAAACTGGCAGGCCTTAAAACCAAACCAGGTGACCGGCACTGTCTTCAACGAGCTGGATGACGAGCAGGTCTTAGAGGTAAGAAGCTCCAACATCTGTTTCCTTTGTTGTTCTGTCAGGAAACTACATTTCTTTCTTCATCCTGACTTTCTACTCTTTCTCTCATTCTGTGGACATCAGGAGTTGAACATGGATATCTTTGAGGAACATTTCAAGACAAGGGCACAGGGTAATCCAGCAGACATTGCTACTATCAAGAAGAAGGTGGTCCAGAAGGCCCCCAGCAAGACCTCCCTGATTGACGGCAACAAGGCCAAGAATCTGGCCATCACGTTACGCAAGGGGGGAATCAACGCGACCGGCATCTGCACCGCCATAGAGATGTACGTGCTTCATGGAAAATGTGTTGACATTTCTGAGTGATCCTCCTTTTTTCTCACTCATGCAATAACTGGTGTAGCTTTTACTACTTTTCTGTACAGGTATGACCAGGAGTCTTTGTCTATAGACCTGGAATTACTCGAGCCCTTCATACCATCAGATTTCGAGATGAAGCTGCTGCTTAACTATGAGAAAGATGGCCGCCCGCTGGAGGAGCTGGCTGACGAGGATCAGTTTATTCTACGCTTTGGGAAGATTCCTCGTCTGAAGCAGCGCATTAGCACTCTCACTTTCATGGGCAACTTCCCTGATACTGTCAAACGCCTGCAGCCGGTCAGTTTCTGTCATGCATTTAAAAATAGAACTGAGATCTGAGGCGCTCTTAAACTGATTTTGTTTTCCCTCCACAGCAACTGAACTCCCTCATCGCTGCATCGATGTCCATCAAGTCTTCAACCAAACTGAAAAAGTTATTAGAAGTGAGTAAAAGACAAACAAAATGAATTGTTCAGTAGCTTCCAAGTGTGTGAATGAGTGATTTCTCATGTTTTCCCCTCAGATTGTTCTTGCCTTCGGTAACTACATGAACAGCAGTAAGAGGGGGGCGGCGTACGGCTTCCGGTTGCAGAGTCTCGACCTTGTAAGTAGTTGTTTATACTTGAATTTTTTACTTTAAAGCAAGACTATTTCACTTATCAAATTAGAGATGTCATTGTCTTGCTCAAAAGACACATTCATACGTTACTAAAATACCCTCGAGGTTGTAGCTTTTGCAAAAAACCTTTGACATTCATCTCTTCATAATTCTTCCCTATTAGACATTTCTTTTTGATTAGCAAAATAATGATGTTGTAAGGTCATGGTGACCTTGACCTTTCTTATCAGTTGTTTATAGGTTCCTAGTGGATGTTTCCAAATTAGAAAATGTTTCCTAAATTGTAACTAGTGGTCGCTGTTAAGAAACAGTAAGCAGTCTTGAATTAAGTAAACTCAAATGACGTATTTATCTTTGTCAACTTCCTCCCTTTTCAGCTGTTGGAGACCAAGTCTACGGACCGCTCGCAGACCCTCCTCCACTTCATCGCCAGCATCATCCAGGAGAAATACCCAGACCTGTCCAACTTCCACACTGATCTACACTTTGTAGACAAGGCAGCTCTCGGTGCATTTACTCAGTCTACCTGGCCAATTATGTAGCTTGTGATTTTAAATGTGGAGAATTACTAAACTAAATGTTGTTGTTTCTTGGACAGTATCATTGGACGGCATTCTTCAGGACATCCGCTCATTAGAACGGGGAATGGAAATGGCCAAAAAGGAATTCCTGGTGCAGGATGACAGCAGCGTTTTGAAGGAGTTCATCAAGACCAACAGTGATCAGCTGGAGACTTTAATCAAAGACAGCAAGAAAGCTCAGGTCAGCCTGCAAAGCATCTCAAATGTACAACCTACACCCCACTACATGCTCTCAGACATGATTTCATCTTCCTGTCTGCTTTTTAGGAGGCATACGGATCTGTGGTGGAGTATTTCGGAGAGAATCCTAAAACCACGCAGCCTTCCATGTTTTTCCCGGCGTTTGGACGCTTGATAAAGGCCTATAAGGTGAGGATGTGTGAGGGATTCACATTTGTATTTATTACAAATGTTGCATTTCAACTTGATTTCATTTTCCTGTAATTGAACACAGATAGCACAGCTGGAGATAGAGCGGAAAAAGAAAAAGGAGAGTGAGAGCAGCGAGGAAAAAGTGTCATCTCCAAACAAGGCCGGGTCACAAAAGGTACAATCATAAGTTATATCAGAGATGTATTAACATTGTTTGTTTAATGACTTTTGACATACTATAGTATACGCCATATTTATTATGAAACTTTCCATGTAATTCATACTTTAAGCAACATAAACAATCATCGAAAACAGATCTCTGACTATAACCCATGACAACCAAACTCTTAGAGAAATGGGAAATATATGTTACCTTTGATTTCAAATGCTTTTTTTGTAACTTTGCTAGGGACCTCAGACGCCTAAAGTGCCCCAGATGGACCTGATAGCGGAGCTGAAGAAGCGGCAGAAACCTCAGGTACGCGAGGGGAAGGACGGCGCCCTGGAGGACATCATCACAGGTACGGTAACACGATGCTTCCTGGTGGAGTCACACAGTGATATTTGAAGCGTGTTTGAAGTTCATGTGCTGTTATTTGAAACTCTCCTGCTCTGCCTCAGATTTGAGGAACACACCATACAGGCGGACAGATGGTCGACGGCCAGCCCAGCGCCAGGACCCTTAATCCACTTCTGGTGCATGAATTTTTACAAATGTAACTCGAGAAGAACATGCTTCAAAATGTTCTGTATATACAGTATTTTAAAATGCATAACGAGCCATGTGGCAGCGTGTTTTTTAGCCAAGATTTTAGAGTGAAACTGCTCTGTAAATAGAATTTGAATATTTAACTATTTCATATTTTAAAAGCAACATTTAATTTGATTATAAATCTCACTTTTACTATTTCTGTGGTACCAATTGGCTTTTGAATGTTCAGTGTTGTTACCTATTGAGTAATAATAATAAAATCATGATGTTTTTTGAAATGGACCTACTGTATTTGTATGAGCGCTTTGACCTGATGCAACATTTTAACACATTTTCTGTCGCTAAGGATGCATGCATTTCCTGACAACACAACATAAAACACAATATTAAGCAAGATCAGACGCCGCCACTGTACAAGAGAGCTGCACTTTATTGGACACACAATCACAGCAAAGTATGTACAAAAGAAGGCAGGTTCAACTGCCTACTGTCTTCTCACAGGAAAAACACACACATGTCTCACAGGATATCATGGCATCCACACTGATAAATTAGTATCTCCAGTATCAGTAGGCTTTTAAATGTATATATCATTATATCATAGATCTATATTCTGTATTATTTTTGTTCTTATATCACACTACTCTACAAATGGGAGGACCGATCTGTGGAAAGAGTACACCATCACGGGTGACTTTTCTGGTTGGGGTGCGTTCCTTCTCGACATCCACCACTATCTTCATCTCCATCACATCACATCACAGTAAGACTGAACATGCCTGTGACACACATACCAAAATAACGTCTCATTCTTCATGTGTGTAAACCTCCTAACATAGAAACCCTTTCTTGTTCTCATATTTTTTGAGAAAACATGTAGACAACATTTTTTTTCAACTGCACCGTGCGATTGCTTTGGGACTATACATGCATTGTTTTGTATATATCTTTGTACCCATTGTCATAGTTTATTAATAAAACATCTTCTTTTGGACATAACAATTTGTGGAACTCGCTAGGAATGACTCAGCCTATTTACAGGTCAATTTTGTTTTTCTACTTTCGATGCCAACATTTTTGAACATCCACACATTCATGTAAAAATCTCATATACATACTATATAATGTAGGTTTGTTATAAAAACAAGATACAATGGCAAAGGAAGAGATTCCACTTTTAAATCACAAAGTGCCCTTATTGATCCATCTTGGGTGGTTTTAACAACTCCGGTGGTTTAGCTTAAATGCTACTTAAAGCCCCTCAGTGCAACAACTTGGACTTAATAATTAACAAAATGTACTTCCAAATGTTTATTCCACCTGTTGTTGTCTCTAAAAAGCTTTTGCACTGAGCATCCACATTGCTACCACTCCTGTTCACATGCAAACATGACACAGCTACAAATTAAAGCCATGTGACTCACATCTCAAACGTCTTGGCCCATAAACTGACCTTTCACAGTAGTTACCACAACTTCTGACCAACTCCAACTAATACCAGCTGAATCACAAATACAGGATGGGGTGAAAGAAAACAGACCACAGGTACAGAAAACAACCCCCTTAAAACACGCAAATAGTAGCAAAATAAGCCCCTAAGCACAGGCACTGGTCCAGCCTCTCACACCTCAATAGTGACCCTTCACATAAGGAGGCAAAGGTGCAGAAGAGCTGGACAAGCATTTTCAGGGACAAGCTTTTCAAAAATCTAAATGAACTCCAAAAATCCAACTCAGTGTTTGTAAATAAAACCCTATAATCAAAAAATGAACTTCAGCGTATATTACAGAGGCTAACTGTTATCTATACAGATATCGTTAAAGAAATATAAAAATGTTCTGCGTATGAATAAATAATCTCAGTGTGAAATGTAATATCTCTCTCAATGAATTAAAAAAGGAAAAATCTGTACAAAATGGTCACTAATATATAAAACTGAAGAGGTGATGACATTTTACAGTATATCATTTAATCTAGGCCTATATATATATCACACTTTTCTTCACAATTATAATATCATACACAAACATCTCACTTAGATATATTTATATATGTATACTTCTTCTAGGTTTGATTTCAAGTTTGCATGAGTTTCTGCGACGTGCCCTCCAAGCCTCCGGACATGTTGAAATCACAGCCCACTAACACTTATAAAAAAAACAAAAAAAAACATTTCAGAGAGCACTGTCACGCAATTCTGGGAGGTTTCATCTCAAACTTAACTTGAGGAAAGCAGCCGAGCGTGAACACTCCCTCCCCAACGCTCACCAGACGCAAATGCAGCAGATTTAACTGATGGGAGAGTTATGGATTTGGGTATGGAACAGCAAGAGTAAGTGAATTACTTTCATTTGACTTCACTCCCCGGTGCTTGAACCTGCCTTATGGAGCTACAGAGCGACCGGTGAGGCTAAATACGCCTTGGCTGTGCACATTGTTAGAGCTCAGGGAGTGTTTAGTCAACACTGCAACCTGACACACTCTGCTTTTCAAGTGTTGTTTTTCTGCAAAAGTGGAAGCAAGACAATTCTCGCAGCCTCTTCTTTGGGTAAAAGTGTTCTTCTGTCTTTGCTGCTGATCTAATACTGTTATACAAGATCAACAGGGGATTTGTGGAAAGTCTTCGAGGCACTGGGAAAAAGATATCAGGTCCTTACAGACAAACAGGCAGGAGTTTCAGGAAAGAGCACGGGAAGAGTGCTAATTACATATTTCACACACTGTTACTGTCATTACTGAGGCCCATCAGACTTTGTCCTAAAATAACCTCAACAAGTGTCATTTCTTTCACAGACGCCCCACATCACAGACAAAGCTAAGTGAGAGGGGGAAGAACAGCCGCTGTCACACCCTTCCTCTCATCTCTTTGGCTCTTTCACATCACAAACACTCTCCATGGAGACAAGAAGCCGTCTCTTTTAAAGAAGCCTTCAAACACAAGTTCCCAATCTAATCCCCTCTTCTCAAGCTGCATGCCATGTGACACAATCCACTTTCGGACATTTTAATCTCATGCCACAAAGAATCGATTTCACACAGTCTTTCTTGTGAACCACTGGAAACAAAAAACACAAAACAACACTTTGTCCGTTCAACCTCATCACATCCCCAGTGGGCAGCCTTAAGGCAATAACACAGGCCAGGGACTTCAGAGTGTGCAGGCTTCACACTCAGGGAATCACTGAAGGGCCTTTCATGTGCTATAAATAGAGATAACTTCATCTACTGTCATTGATGCACACTAAAGACCTAACATTCATACATGTTTTAACATGCAGGTAATAGAACCAAATGAAGGTTCATCTAACGTACAGTCATTTAAAAGAAACGGGGATTTTCTTTCCTTTAAGGAACATTTGTAGCTTTGTGCTCATCATTCTTTAAGCAGATTCACAAGATCAAAATGTGAGAAAAAGGTGTCAAGTGTTTCAGAGGACAATGTGCTTTCTTTATATTCCTATATATCTAAATCTCAGGCCCTTCAAGGGTCAAGCTGTGTCAAGTGTCTAAATGTGTGCTGATTTTCTTTCTTTAGCTTTCAAACACTGCTTGAAACTGTGCCAAGTGTTGAAGTGCGATCAATTCACTGCAGTGCAAGAAACATTTTGTTCCTGTTCAAAGAAGGTATTATGCATCGTTGTAAGCTGCTTCCCATCAGAGTAACTTTGAAGTTCAAAGAAGATAAGTGTCCTAAAATAAAGCACTTTATATGTCTGCTCTTTAGATTCCTTAAAGGGTGAAATCGTCTTCTTGTCGATGTGGCTCTTTTCAAGCGGTGCAACAGATGTGACTTGAGAAAAAATGATTCATCCCTTATCAAAATGCCCTAAAACAACAACAACAACAACAACAACAACAACAACAACAAAGGTTTCTGCACACAGGTTCGTTTTACAAGTGCAGAAGGAGTGACAGAGTTATTCATCAGTGTGTGCTTGAGTCTTTGGGAAGGTTTGTGATGTCAGGTGCTGAAATGCCTTAGCAACCTGTAGGACGTGACAGCGGAACATCCTGATTGTCATTATTAACTTGTCAATACAGATATACAGAAATGCAATCTCTTTACAATTCCTTCCTTTTTGTGTAACTGTGCCTCTATTCTATTTTCAGTAAAGGTGTGCTGTCATAAAACCGCTCCTTTCAATGTGATTTGGACATTTTTAAGTTGAAGATGTCCTATAGTTGTTCCTAATTTTCCGATGCAAGGATTTCCTCCTGTAAGGGTTCATATAAATATTGAAACAGTGTGACATGAAATCATAGTCACAGTGGAATGTACACTTTACACAGTGTACAAACAGAGGGGAACATATAGCACCAGTTTCAGTTTAAAACACAGGTGATGCATGAAAAGCCACGAGTGCCCTTTTAACACAAAACCACAATCATCACCTTGAGCACATTCTGCCAGGTGACACAATATGAACCTGAACAAACACGACTACTGGACTCACTTGGTGATTATTGCAGCTCTATTTTCTATGATAAAAGTCTATAAATAATGTCTACTCCACTAACAACCCCGTTGAGTGAGGGGTTTTATGAGACTGCTACTGTCAGTAAATCCATCCAGACCACATCAGCTTACAGCAGGCCCGTTTGTGGGCTCTCTTTCTGGCAAACTGGCAGCATGAGTGTGGGAGAACTGCAGAGGAACTATGGAACCAGATTAGAGTAGGAGACATGTCCAAACAGAAGATAGTGACTCCATGTACGGTATGGTAGGTCTTGCCATGGAGATATGAAGAGTGCATACTGGAGTGAGGCCAAAAAAACAGAGAGGACAATCTAAAAAGTCCTGAAATATGACACTCAAAGATGCTCCAATTTCCCATAATGCAGATGTGTTCTCTTTATGGTTCATAATATGATGGAGCTTCCATCCATCCTCCTTCTCTTCAGGACCCCGGGGCGAGGTCCTGCTTCACTTGCCCACTGCCCGCCTCCTTGCAGCTGTTGACGCTGGGCTGGGAAACGGAAGAAGAAAGGGTAAGGGAAGGGTTGGGAGAAGAGGGAGACAGGGAGGGTGTCGGGGTGGTGGGTGAAGCAGAAGAGGAGGGGGATGTAGCGATGGGAGTAGAAGGGGAGGACTTGCTGCTGGGCAGGGGCAAGGAGGAGGCTCGCTGCTCACGTAGGAGGCGGCGATGGCGGAGGGTGGAGGAGAGGAGCAGGGCCTCGGCGCTCAGGCCGGAGGCGGACAGGCTGGCCAGAAGAGCCCTGGCTTGGCTGGTGGAGCCTTTCAGGGAGGGCAGCCCCTCCTGGGGGGGCTTCCTCAGGCCAGGGGTGAACACTGCTGCAGGAGAGGGCGCTCGGCCTGGCAGAACTCCCGTTTTGATACCAGAGAGGTACGGCTCAATACTGCCACTGGTGCTGTTGGTCCCCACGGCCTTCAGGTGAGAGCGGGGACACAGAAGGGGGGGCAGGGGAATCGGGGTGGGGGGGGGGGGGGGTGGGGGGGGGGGGGGGGGGTTTCAGGGATCAAAGGGAAATTCATGAACAATTAAAGTCTCAAAATTGGTTGGCAACCGTCCCCCTGCAGCTCCTTCCCTCACCCATCACAGTCAAACATGCCCGGGCGTGCATGCTTGCACACACAGACTTTGGAGTAAACACTGGAGATATGAAAGAAGCTGATGAAGTCAAACGGGTGGATGGATGTGTGGAGATCTCTGTCAGGCAAACGGGAGGAGAAGGAAGCTAAAGAGGCTCCACAAGGCAGGTGGCTCACTGCTGCAGGGTCACAGGGACAGGTCGGGGGTGCAGGGCGGCGTGGGTTCACACAGGGTGGCGGGGGGGGTGAGGTTGGCCGCAGAAGAGACGTGTAGTGGAGGGGTAAGGGGTGTGTGAGGGAAAGGTGAGAACAGAACAAAAGACAAAGACAGAATATTGTTATACAGGTTGAAGTCAGCATGTGTGGTGCAAGCCACGAGACCTGCACACATGATGACCAAACCATTGATAAACACACTTTTGTCTTAGGGTGCAACACTAAGTGACAACGTGTATAAGGTGTCTTTATTTTGACACGTTTTAATGATTTGAACTCATTAAAAATGCAAAATATCCTGACGAACAGGCAGCATCACATGTTCAGTTCCTCTGTGTAATGCTAGAATGAGTCAGTAGATGGCACTGTTCCAACAGTATGAATCTCACATTTGTCATAACATGTATAAAGCTAAATTGAATGCATTTAACCGAAAAGGTTTGTAATTTCTATCTTTGGGGGGGGGGGGGGGGGGGGGCAGAGGAAGGAAAATACACAACATTGATGACAGGGTTGAGATATGAGCAGGCAAGAACCATATCTGCATTTTATTGTAAATAATTTTACACTAAAGGGACATTTTATCTACACTTCTTTATAAAAAAGCAACAGGAGGGGCGTTTTTGCATTGGCAATAAAGCCATTTTGAATATGTCTGTTGTTGGATTACGGGGATTAGCGCTGTATGAAAGCAGAGCAGGTGGGCTCGTCTGCTAGGACGCTTTCACCTGCAGAGCACGGGCTGCCAACCGTCCCCTGAGGAAGGAGCTGTTCCTTCTGCATGAGAAACTCCTCTCAAGTCTGGTCAACACATTTGTCCCGGTGTGTGAGTGCTGCAGAGTATCCTCCCTTCATCTCACGCATGTCAGAGATGCCTAGCAGCCTCCCAGGACAAGTCTTGATAACCCCCAGCACCTTGAACTAACCTGTTTTACCACCAGAAGTAATACACAGCTGAATGGGAAATGGAAATAGGGTTTCACACTGTGCCCTCCATGATCTGTGCCATAGCAAACAGGGAGAATTTGTGGCTTTGAACTCATATCCAGGACACGGATTCAAAGGATCCTCAAGTCTGGGATGCTTTAATACTTTGGAGTAAAGCTTTAGTGAGCAGGCAGCCTGAGCACAGAGCACCATTAGCTCTGTTAATATACGCATCAGAGCCTAAACTAGCTTAAGAACCTGAGTATTAGGACTACATTTGCTCCAATGATCCATTTGGACTACATTATTTGCAGGGGCTTGACAAAGGTATGACCCTAACATCTGAATGGCTATCCTGGAACTAAAGCTGCTGATCCCAAATATAATCAAAATGACCATTATCTGTCTATGGCACAAAATGTGTCCACTGTCCACCATCATATTTTATTTTGATGGTAAAATAAGTGGGTAACTAGAAATTGACAGTGCTATACCCAGTGCACACGTAAAAAAACAAAAAGCGTTGCCAGTGCATCTTGTTTTAGCTGAGTGCAGATGGTACACAGCGATGTCTTCAAATGTTTTACTGTCCGTCCAGCTGGCTCTTATGATATGTTAATGTGTACCAGCTGCCCTTCATATGAACTAGTGGGAAATGTCATCATCATTGTGTAGATAATGCCACCGATGCTAAAGATATCTATATATATTTAGATCTATTCACGTATTGGCTGGAGACTCTGAAGTGGTTTGCTCATTGCTTCCTTGTTTGTGCCCTGTTTAAAATGCCCTAGAAATGTCAGTTATCATTCGGCCAGAGGAAACAAAAGAGAAAACACCAATGGGAACTGGGTTACTAGTTGGGGGTCACATCTAGGGAGTTGTGTCCGGGTAAGGTTTAAGAGAAGAGACATCTTTACCTTCATATGTTGCCAGAGTAGAGAGTTCACCCACGGTGGGCACGTCTGATTAGAACAACATTATCAGTCAGGTGATCAGCAGGTGTCAGTTTGAGGGAGAAATAAGAGGGAGGGGCCCTATGGAGGGTTGCCTCTAATATGAATCATGTCTAGGTTACAGTTATATTAGAGGGCTGTGCAATATATACCTGGCTGCTGTAAATTGTGTGATTTCATTTTGACATCTTTAATATATTTTTTAATGCATGCTTCTTGGCAAATGTCCCCTTTGTGGGACGAATAAAGGTATTCTGATTCTGAAAATGTGGATGCCGAAAACTGTGACTGTTCTGACACGGCCGGTACAAATATAATCTTTAAAAACCTGCTTGCTTTTAAGTTCTGAAAAAGAAGTAGGATTTTCATAACAATTGTGTAGCTGCTATAATTGGGGTTTCTCTTTAAAAACATCACAAAGTCAGTGAACAGAAAATAAGGATTCAGGTGAAGTAAATATACAGTCTGCAGACGTTTTTAATGAACTCTTCAAGACTGTATGCAAATGAGTCAGCCGACTTGATTATTTCCTCAGATGAGCTGCAGATAATTAGTGTGTTTTTACAGCAAAGTCAGCTGTTTCATTATGCAAAACTTAAATGCCTTAGAAGACACGTTTTGCTCCATCTATCTGTAAGCTTCATTGTCAGAATCTGTGCTGTTTTTCTTAGTTTAACATTAAAGACATCAAGAAGCCGACTGAGACAGAGCCGATTTAAAAGCAACAGCTTGTTGAAACCAATAACACAATGTTACATTTTCAGCATGGTGCCTCATTAAGGTTTAAAAAGGTTGCTACAATATTTGTGTTGGCATTTTCAACCGAGCTCGTATTACAGCCCTGCATGGTTAAAAGAGTTCAGCTTGAAATGTATGAAACCCAAACGTGTTTAATTATAAATTACATGATACAAAATTAATGAAAATATATGTCAAATATTTAAATAAGCCAAGAAGTTTTTTAATAATTCAAGACATAATTAAAACTTATTGATGCTATTTTATCCTTATTTTTCATAATATTAGAATTGTATTTTTTCAAAAGTCCGTATATATCTTTTTTATTATGTTAATTTTTGACAAACTCACTTTTCATACAGTCGTTCTTTCATATTTTTACTTGGTGTAACAGTGGTGCAATTGTGGCTGTTGCTGCTATTGCTGACAGGAGCTAACTGGCTACAATTGGTGAAAGTTTTTTAGCCTACTATCCAAAGAGGAAAGGGCTCATGTGATTGACTGAGAGGCCAGAGAGGATCTTATACAGAAAGCCAGCACAACACACCTGCATTCTATGAAACCTTTGGCATCCTTAAATACAGCGTATTCCAGCTAAAGAATCCAACAACATGTCTTTATTACTCAAGCTAAAGTCATCTTGATATGGTCTTCATCCAGGTGCCTAAAGCAGGTGGCAACCTGACCGTATGAACTGGTATTTTGCACTGCCAGTCATTATTTCATTTGTGCCTCATTTATTTACCTAGAGAGGTAAACAATTATCTTTTGTAGGCCAATTAAGATGTTGTTTACTTTTAATTACCGTGACATCTTTTTTTAAACATATGGGAAAATGTGATTATTGATCTCAAAATCGTTAATTTGCTTAATATTAAACACTTTGGAGTATTGTGCATCTGTAGTAGAGGATACTAGTAATGAGAGTAACTAGGAATTAGTTGTTGAGAGTCCTCTGATTTCCTAGAGAATGGCCTCAGCTTATTTTTGTACAACAACCTTTACCTACTGCTGCTCTAAAGGACTACTTAACCTCTTAACTACACGCTGCTCATACTACATACAAATTCCGCAAAATGCAGCTATTGTGAAAGCCGCCACAGCTGACTGTTCATTCTCTTGTTTTAAGTCAGCTGGTTCTTTGTTTCTTTTAGTTATTCGTCATGCAGTTGTGGGATGTTGCCACCCTAAACAGCTTGGCAACAACTTCCCACGCTGACAATTAGCTTTGAGAGCCCACTGTCCCTTTGAGGGTAGTGCTTTCACACATACAGCTTCTTTGTACAATGGATGTTTTGAACAGTTTGTGGACAAAGAGAGAGTGTTCCCTGTGCGAGTGTCATAATGAAATAATAGGACTAATTTTGCTTTTATTATACAAGTGTGGGAATCCACTCTACTTTTAAATCGCAGGGATTGAAAAGACTGGCAGAGGGAAGAGTGAATAGGATAGACGGGCAGCGTGCGTCAATTGCAGAGTAGAACATGGAAGAAGGAAAGAGACATAAAGAAGAGGAAACGTGAAAGACGTAATGGTGGGGGAAAAGAGAGCTGTCCTCTTCATACTGAATAATCGCTGATTGCCAGCGACTAAAGAGGCGATTATTACATGGCACCGCAGAGATTCTTCCCAATCTCCTCTTAGTCTGACGCCAGCAAAGCTTCTTTATGTCCCCATCTCTCACACATTCATTTCTTTGCAATCTTCAAGCATGAATTTGTTTCTGTCAACTTCAGTGGAGTATGGAGGTTTAGGTTCACTCCACTGCTCTTGTTATTTTTCAAATTACATTGACATTAAGCTTTTTTTTCTTCTTCTGTGCACAGGGGTGGTGCAGAAAGCTTCTCCTGGCTTTACTGGACTTACATGCTTCAACGGTTCAATTTCCTCGCCTCCAGAGGCCATCAAGCATCCTAATGTCCAGTCCTTTGCCATATTTGACTGAACACTGAAGTGCTGGCGAATTAAAGTTAGTTAAGCCTGCTATCAGGGGGAGATAACAACATACAGTATAGAAAAAGGCTTACGCAGGGAGTTTCTGAAATTATTTTTACGTTCTGCAGAACTTTATATTTTTGTAACTGTGTGACCAAGCTGGTATATTGATCCAGACCTAAACGTGTTAATTAGGGCAAAACAAAGTAAAGTATTTTATAACTTTTTAATTGGTTTAAATACTATACTTAGAGATGTTAGGTATAAAAATCCGGTTTAGATTTAATTGAAACACTTTTCCTCGTCTGTGAGCAAAAACACCGGCAGAGAATACTTTCATCTATTTTCACAAACTCACAATAATGAGACAGTCACATCAATGAGACTTTGCCATCAACGATTTACCGTCATTAACTAAGCTGGTTTAAACGCATGAATCATAGCCACTGTTGTTAAAATAAATACATAAACAGACATCTTAAAGGTTAGGTATAAGGTGAGGAGTGAAGCATGGTGGGAACATGCAGGAGTTCTGTGGAGGTGAAGAACGAGGCTCATTTCTGCTTGATCTGGTGTGTCAAATACCAAAGGGCTGCAGAGCTATTCTGGAGACGTTATCAGCTTGCAGAGATATTGTGAGGAAGCAATCCCCCTTTATAATAAATCATTTTTCTATATCAAAAACAAGGTCATCAAATGTGCCTGTTTATGTGATAAAAAAACTCTCTGCCATCTTTCTTGATTTATAGCAGCCACAGATCATTGCCACTCTTTGCTCCAGTTTCAAGTAAAGGACAATGTAATAAAAGGCTATTTGTTATAATGATCACCATCTTAATTTTAATGATTGTCTACCCCTCTTCTGGACAAGCTTTTCTTACATTTCCTGAAAAACATGTATTGGTTGGCTGCGAATACCATTGAAGAGTGTGGTAAATACTGTACAGACCCTGCCAGATCAAGCCTGCATTAGCCTTAAGAGAGTCAAGTGTAAAGATATAATACCTGCTGCTGCTGGCCCTTCACAAAGTCCTCTCTTCTGACACTTTTAGTCTTGTCTGTACTGTTCTGCTGCAGGTGCTTCAGTTTGGAGGCAGCGGAGGATTGGACGACCTTATTCCCTCCCTGAAAGGAGAGAAGAGTGATGTGTGAATCTGACCTCAGACACACAGACTCTTACATTTCATTCTCCACTTCAGAGGCCTTTAGTTTACGACACACATCACACACACATCAACTTAGCACAGAGTGTGAATCAATCAAGCAATTCTGCCCCCCCCCCCCGAGACCAATGAGGTTTTAAGATCAGAGCTTGTATCTGATACAACTGAACAATCCACTTCACAGAGTTTCACCATCTATCGGAAAATGACAAAGAGGAGAACATAAAACGTGGAATCAAAACCGGCGTTGCATAGCCTCACAGTAGGACCCACAAAGCGTGTGCTTAATGATCTTTCCTGCTGGGTTACTCTGTCGGCTTTCTCTAATACGCTCAAAAAGAAATACACATGCAGTCAAATGTCCACCCCACTGTGCCTCCTCTGCACACAGATATTAGCTGAACTGAAAACTAATAAAAGATTAACTGAAGTGACGTCAAATAGCCCGTCTTTCTCTGCAATTGTAATTCAAGGAAACCTGCCTGTCTTCCCTGAGCCTTGTATAAAGCTGAATTTGCAGACATAAGCTGTGCACTATACAGTATTTCATGCTTTATTTAACAAGCTAATTAAAAAAACTGGGGTTTGACTTGAGATCACTTGTCAGTCTGAATTCGGTGAGTACACTAGCAAACGTTGGACAAGAGCAGGAAGAAGGGTCATGTTGAAATACTGAACGTGGTTGAAGTAAAAGTGATGAAATAATGTGTGGAGACGCTGTAATCCTCAGCCCTGCCTATGGGAATGCTCCCCGGCTCTACATCAGAGGGCTGAAACTCGCCATGACATTGCAACTGTCAATTATGGCAGCCCTGCCCTGAGTGGGGGGGGGGAACATTCAGTACAGGGAATGCTACGCAAGCTGTCAACACACCTCAGTGAAGCGCAGCTGACACAGGAACGCAATGAGTCTTCTGGTAATCACTAATCTTTTGTTGTGTTACGGTCAACTGGAGGTGAGTTGAAAGAAAGCTATCTTAAATCTCTGGTAATAGAGTTCAACATGTGGTCATTACTTATTACCAAGAAGTGTATTGGAAGTGAATTCTTTTAAGAGATACTGTAGATTTCTCTCTCTACCACACTCAATGAAGACTGAGCCGTTCCTCAAAAGGGACTCCACTAAACTTATAACATTACAATAACGTGCTATAAAGTCTTGTCAGTTGTCCAAAAGTCTAAACCATCAAAAAATGCTTTCACACAGAAACAAACAAGACGACAGTTCAGTTTGATCCGGACAGAGGTCACAAGTTTTCATCTGTTTTCATACTGTTTGCCATCGACCTTGGTTAGGTAAGGTCTCACAACTGTGATTCTGGTTCGGATCAAACAGAACAAATACCAGAAAATAGCGCTGTAAGTAACGAGGAGAAAAAGAAGAGGAAATGTAAGGTTTATATTATCTATGCATTTGCTTGTATTGCCTGTTTGTGGTAACAAAAGGTGAAATTGGCTAGATTTACAAACAGAAAACAGATGCGAGAACAGGTCGATGAAGAAACAATTAACAACCCTGGGCTCAACAGGATAGCAGCACCAGCGCTAATCACAGAACAGACAAGTAGAGAGGAAGTCTGTTGTCTAGTCCCCACATTACATATTTTCGATTTCAATACAATTAAACTCGGATTAAGTGAGGGAGCAGACATCAAAAGCTTGAAAGTGAAGTTCCAGCAGTCACCCAGAGGGAAGCAGTGAGGAAAGAAAATAGAGCATGCTGCTTCAGAGCAATCTGTGAGCAATGAACCTGGATCGATGCTGGGCTGAAAGAGGGCGGCTTGGGGGGGACCGGGGGCTTCTTGGTCTGTGAGGTCGTCTCTGTGTAGAGCTGCTCTGCCATTGGATGGCCGCTGATCTCTATCAAAGTGTTCTCCAGCTCACGAATAGTCTCCTCCAAGCTGTCCAGCCTCCTGTATGTGCTGAAGCGGACATCTTCTCCTGCTTTCCTCTGGTTCTGGTTCGATACACTATCCACAGAGCTAGCCGATCCACTTGACTGAAGAGTGATGTTTACAGATTTCAGTTTTACCTCAGGAATGTTAAGTTCAGTGTTGCGCTGAAGTCTCAGTACTCTATCCCCCGTCTGTATCCCGCTCCTCAGAGCCTCTACCAGACAGCACTGCTGAACCGAGCTGGGGAAGGCTTTAATTCTTGGTTTGGGCACCGGCTTGGAAGACTCCAAAAGGTTACGCAGCAGCATGTAGGCATCCTTTACTGTTTTCACCTCTCTGAGAAGCACTAGGAGAGGCCGAGCCCTCAGCTGGACCTCAGGAACTTCACTGGTCTGTGTTGAAATGATGAGGGTCTGCAGAGATTCTGCGAGTATCCTGCTGAGCTCCTCGGCCTCAACAGGAGACACCACCCTCACCTCCAGCTCTGTCAACAACAGGGCCACTTCCTGTCTTAAGTCCTCCTTAAAACATAGCTGCTCTCGCTGAGGAGGGCTTCCAAATGAATCCCTTTCTTTTGAAAATGTAGTCTGGTGGACTGTGTTGTGACCAGTCCAGTCTCGTGATGGACTTTCCTCTAGGGGGTCATTGGCTGAATCTCTGACAGGATCCTCTGAGGCAGCGTGTGAAGGCAGGAAACACTCTGTCAACATGATGTGGGGGACAGGATACAAGCACCTTCCCTATAAATGAGGAAAGCACTTGAAGGGTTATATTTAAATACTGGTTTTAGCTTAAGCACAATTCAACAACTTGCTGCTTGAGATCACTGCATACCCAGACAGACAAGCGATTTAAGCAGCTTGTTTGTAATTATGTCGAGATAACTAACTCTACATGCAACTATCAGTGTGTTAACATGTGTATGCTCCTTTCTGGTGCATACAACAAACCGATTCTGATGTGATGCCTGTGTGATCATGTCAATTCAGCTCGCTTCTCAAACATACTGACACACACACCATGTATACATCACTTCAGGGGACATTACATTGACTTTCATGCATTTCCTGGAGACTTATCCTAACCTTAACCACAACCAACACATGCCTAACCCTAACCCTTAACCTTACCCTAACCAAGTCTTCACCCTTAAATTCCCCTCATGGGGACCTCCATTTTGTCCCCATAAGGGAGGCGAGTCCCCACACGTGACTATGTAAACAGATTTAGGTCCCCACAATTATAGTAATGCTAGGCCACACACACACACACACACACACACACACACACACACACACACACACACACACACACACACACACACACACACACACACACACACACACACACACACACACACACACACACACACACACACACACACACACACACACACACACACACACACACACACACACACACACACACACACACACACACACACACACACACACACACACAGAATGTCATGTGATTGTGAAGGGTGCATTCATATTATACAAAGGAACTCAATGTGTATACAAGGGTGTGTCCAAATTACGATGAGTCAAGATGCATTGTTACAAAAAAAGAGAGTAATCTAGCGATGACAACTTTAAAAAAAATCTTTTAGGTAATTGTTTTGGATTTGCAGCAAAATTGCGTTATGGTTGAGTCTCAAAATTACAATCAACACAGGAAGCGATGTGCCCAGCAAATAAACCTCTGTAGGCTACCTGCCCGTTACCAATCAACTGTAAGCTGAAGGAGGTTGAGTGAGTGAACACTGAGGACTAGAACACTTCTCAAGATGATGAAACCATATTGAATATTGATCTTACATTCATCAGAGAAACATAACTCGTCAATGAATGCTAATAATGCTGGCTGCTGAGTGTAATTGAGCAACTGTCTGCACCAAAAACAACTAGGACAGAGGTAAAGTGCTGTTTGTATGTCAGCTGTACAGTATATCAGTGGCCACAACCATTTTCAAGTTGCTCAACTTTCAAAAAGAAAAAAAGAATAAGAGTGGGTACTCAATCATTGAATTGATTCCAGACAAGCTTGTATGTAAATAAGACTTCACTTTAGTGCATTCTGCATGTTTTAGGCTGGAAATGCAGCATGCAAACGGTAGACATTATCAATTTGTGAGTAATTTAACTGCTGAAGGGAGACTTTTCAGATTGAAGAGATAGGAGGAATACATGTGGCTGGATGCTGAGCAGTGGTGGTTACTGTGTTAAGGTGGAGAGGTGAAGAAGAAAAAAAGGGCAGCAATCCACAGCACTCAGGGCCAACCAGTGTTACCTCAGTGCCTGGGGCCTCAGAGGGCCACAGGTCCGGTCTGCAGGGGGGGACACTTTTCCTGCTGAGAGGACTAACAGGAAGGGAATGGGGAAGGGGAAGAGAGAGCCTGACTGGGACTCTCTCAAACAGCTGGGGAGGGAAAAGAGAGGTTCAAAAGCTGTTGTAAATTGTACAATAAAAACCAAACAAGCACTGAATTTGACAAATCTGCTTCTGTGGACCCTCTGCTCCAACAAAATTCCAACAGGCCATCTCAAACACAGCCCAAGCAGCATTCAGGGTCCATCTGTCTGGCTGTGATCTGTGAGCCCTGGGTGATGGTGTGTGTGAATGAGCAGTATGTGATCTTTGGGTGCTCCCAGTGCCAGGGGCAGAGGGGGGACATATGGCACCTGCTGCTTGAACATGTGGTAATGATGGTGAGCAGGTCTGCTGGTGAGTATGTGTGCGCACAAAAGCAGGTAGCAGATTGTGGACCTAACATAAATAATAAAAACTGCAGTTTTCCAAGTCATTGAACAACAGCCTATTGAGGATGTAATCAACATAGGCAAGGCAAGGCAAGTTTATTTATATAACATACAGTAATACACAACCCATGGTTTGGTTTACCTCCAACTCGGCAGCAGTTTTCTCCTCCTCTACGTCCTCCTTGTCCCCAGAGGTGAGTGTTGGGGGGGTGGATGCAGGACGAGGGTTTTCGGACACCGCCCTCCTCAGTTTTACATGAGGCTTCTGGCCTTCAGTCTCTTCAGATTCAGACTTCTACAATTACAAATATAAAAAACATGTTTCACCCATCTGATCCCGTATTCCAGCTTGGAGTTTCAATATTCTGTATTGGACCAGTACTCAATGTTTTGAAGTTAAGACAATATATTAAAGCCTTCAACCTTCTTTCTATACCAGTCCAATTATCTGTTGATATTAACCATTGAGGAAACGTACTTAATTACTAACTTTTACAATGAATAGTTTGAATTGCAAAATTCTTACTTTGTGTGGTGCACATAACAATTATAAGTATATTCTTGCATCTTTGTCTTACCTTTATACTTTTCCCAGGAATAAGCTGCTCTCCGCTGCGGCTGGTTATGCACGGAGAAGACGGGAAACTACGTCTGGGTGGTGGAGGAGGGGGGGACTTGGAGGGTTTCTCTGTGCGATATCGTGGAACAGTCAGCTCATCTAGAGAAGGAAATCATTTGGTAATCTTGAGAAAGTACTCATACAGTGACAGCGGCATAACAGTTACTTTTGGATCGACCCATGAGGCATTTGTAGCCTTTATAATACGGTTGTATGTAAAACCTGCTTTTCTCGATATTAAATCTATGTTGAGTGACATACATTTTTTATTTATATTCCAACTCAGTTAAGGGTATGCAAGTGCGTGAGAACATTTGAAGGACTGCAGGTCTTTTAAAAGTAATTAGATTTTTTTGAAATGCAAGGTGGTAACTCTTAGGGGAAAAATATCTGTTTTTCTCAGCTCTTGAAAAGTTGTCAATTTGAAGAGGCAGGTTTTTTACTTGACGATGATGCATGATAATGATTCAGACTAAAGAACTGAACTCTCACCAGAGCCACGCCTGGAACTTCCCCCAGAGAGTTTGTGCTGGGGCTTGCCGACGCGGTGCTCTAGGGTTCCTGCCCCGCTGTGGGGGTTCTGGGAGGTGGGTGTGTTGGAGGAGGACTTGATCTGCTTGGCAGCAAAGTCCAGGTCTGGAATAGATTTCATTAACTCGGCCTGTGTCTCCTCCAGCAACCGGTTAATGTCCTGCGCGCTGTACTGGGTCAGAGTGGCCCGCTTCTCCTCCCAGTCTCGCTCTGCTGCCTGTGAAGTGCAAAAACTCATCTAAACATTTTATATTCAAATAGCCGTAATGGTAATGCAGTACTAGTGTATATGATTTGTAATGCAGACTATGTGAGCAGTGAAAACAGACAAGAAATAGGTGAAAAATGGCATAAATTGTTCCTACCAGCCGGACCTCCACGGACAAAGCTTTGTCAGCTAAAGCACGGCGTTCCATTTCCTCCAGGGCTTTGCCTTTGTGAGGAACAGGAGGATGATTGTCCTTGTGAGGGCCAGACATGTTGGCGTGGCCCCGGCTGAGGCTGGAGTGGGGGCTCCAGTTTGACAGGCTGTTGCTTCCCCCAAGGTCATTCATGGTAAGTGGTTGGCTGGTGTGGATGTCAAAGTCTGAAAACTTTCGCATGTCGTCTTTGTGCTTTGATGAAGGACTAGAGAAGTCCTCCTGCTTCTTCCACACACCCTCATTTGCTTGTCTGGTAAGAAACAGAATATGAATTAATTAAACAACTCTTTCAAATGTAATACAAACTAAACCATGAATAATTCATAACTTGAAAAGAAAGCAATTGTTGCTGAATGCCAAAAACATTCAAGAAAAAAGCTCCAAATATTGTGAAGGGCGAAAACTTTCACCAATTCTGGACAACTCTCTCTCTTACCCACAAAGATGAGATACAAAGAAATATTTTGATCAGTGAAGTTAATTAAAGTGGAAGGGCACATTTTAAAAGTCCAAAGGACCAGACTCACCATAAAGTTAAAAAGCAGTCCTTCATGTAGCTGAAAAGAGCCTTCATTAGGGTATTACCCATAAAGCAAAGTGGTACTTCAATGGCTGTTTGAATGCACTCTTCAGAGCAGGCTATTGTATTCACATTATGACTTAAATCTTTACTCTTAACCTGCTAGTTTTAAGAGCTTTGGCTTAAAACAGTAAAGTGGATACTGAAACCTATTCAACAGCAATGACTAATCAATTTAGCTTGGTCTGAGTCCTGTCTGCCCATTACCTTTTATGAAAATCCATAATGTTCTGCTGACACACAAACAATGAGGGGTGAAAACATAATTTCTCTGGCAGAGGTTCAAAAGGAAAAGCCTTCCAGAAAGTGATTGCTAATGGCTATGTTTTTGTGTAAGCTAATGCCAGACGTATTTCACTAGGTGTCAAAAACGTTTTCGCACAATTACCCTTCCATCGTAACATATAGGATTACTTCAAAAACATCAAGTCAATGGTAGAAAATTGTGCCTTAAATGAGCATTCAAAGTTAGCTTATGAGCTCTCAGTGGGCGCAGGTTCGTACTTGCGCATGGTGGCGAGGGTATCAGTTATACTCTTGCAGCGTTTTAACAGAGCATCGAGTCTGTGCGGCTCTTCTTTCAAGAATTTAACGGCCTCCACCTCCACTCTGAGCACCACCCGCATCTTACTCTGCAGCCCCGGGAACTGATCTGCAGGAGGAAGAAGAGAGGTAACAACCATGTTCCCCAATAACAAATCGATCTAATTGTCAAAGGACATTGAAAGCCTTTCGTTGTAAGCAAAGAAAACATTTTGGTACTAATGGTCAGGGAGTTCATTAAGACAATGAGCAATCTGAGACTGATCAAATGGCTTGCAGACAGGGTGTGGATGAGTAATGAGTCATGCCTGGTGAGTAATTAGTGACATACAAACTGTTTGCCAGAGTAAGTTTTCTGCTTCGTGCCTCTGCGCAGAATGTGAAATGTGCCAGCATGACTCACTTTTCAGTTCTGTGAGTGTTTCTCCCAGCTTTCTGAGATGAGTGGCCTTCTCCTCCAGCTCCTGCACTGTCACCAGCTTGTGGTTGACAGACGACTCCTTCTGGATCTCCTCCACTGACTTCTCCAGGTCACTGATAAAGAACAGACAGAGGGCTGAACACTAGGGATTACTCTGCAACACTTACTGTACATTTTGACTACGCTTTTATCTCAGAATGATGCTATTTGAGTTTCAGTAAAAAACCTCTGCCAATAAACTGTCTCTCAATCAACTGGCAGCAAGATTAAGCATTCTGGACAGCTGAACTGGAGGAGTGTGGACGGGTATTTAAAAGTTTGAAAACAACTGAGGTACAAAGTGCAGCCGAGAATCAGTTCAAATGAGTTTATTCTGCTCAAATATTATGTGTCTGAGATTGATGTCATATAAATCTGCCTTAAATTATGTAATGAATGAAAGTTTAATGTATAATGAACCAATATTAAATTGGCCATTAGTCAGGATGAGATCATCTAACAGTTCAACCAATTAGTGTGCAATCAAAAAGCCGCTCAGAGTGAGATTCAGGAACTCTTCTGCAGCTCCCAGACTTATTACCATTTCCACACGTGAGAGTGAGACAGTAGCAAGTTATCTGATTATTAAATCTCAAGGTAGCTCTCTGCTCTGGTTTTGCAGTCACTTCAATTAGTAGCCGGATCCTCTCATACCTCAGATCTTAATAAGCATCTTGCTCTATGCCGGGCTTAATTACAGTTACAATTTCATCCCTATCACTGCTTCACCCAGTGAGCCATGCAATTATAAAACAGATATCAACTGTGTCATGTTTATAGCAATTATTAAATATACTGTATGTGATGAAACTCATCTAATACTGGATATCAATCCAATTATATAAAATGCACTGAGCAGAAATCAATCCGTTAGTACAAAATAAAAAAATGTATACATTTTTCTGGAGAAAACTAGTCTTTGGATTAACATGATTATTGATCTATAAATCTTAATCCTGGCAATTCTGCTAGGATAATGCATAAAGTTTGCAGATGTGTGGGTTGGGTCTGGTGGTTGAGTATTTGTTGGACGTAATGGATTTGCACTCATAATGGAGAGAGTAGTAAAGCTGCATTTTAAAATAATTGAATGTGTTTTCTTCATCAGATAATAATAAGATAAAATGTTTTGTGAAAAAGGTTAGATTAAAATACAAAAAAGGTAGACTAGATTGTCTCAAATGTTTAGACACAATCTGACATTTAAAGGCTAAACCTCGACTAAAAGAGGATAGTATGATGAAAACAAGGACATTTCACAAAGGACTTAGACTTAGACCAATACTAAAAGACGGGTCAATACTAAGACATTTCCTGTTACTGACTGGAGCTGCTGGATGATGAGCTCCTCCTCGTTGAGGTACTTGAGTCTCTCCTCCTCGACCAGGAGGCGCTGTCTCTGCAGAGGGTCCTCCTGCTTCCTCAGGGCGTCCGCCACGCGCACCTTCAGCTCCGCTTCGGCCCGCTTCAACAGAACTCGCACTGAATCCTGGTTCTCCATCTGCACACATATTCAAACATACTTAACACTTAAGTTGGGATTTGTGTACATTTGACAACTGTTTTAAGAGCAATCGTATCAACGTTAGCATCGATAGCATAATGACAATAGCTTGTTGAAGATGTGAAATCTGATATCGTTGCCATTGGAGCATTACAACAGGACAACAAAGAGGATAATTGCAGTTGCTGAAAGCTTTTCAAGACAGACTATATTGATTTACTGCAACTTATATATTTCTTTCCCCTGACCTTGGCCTTGGCTTCTTGTTTTACTGTGCGACCTTCTCTGCCTTTTGATGCCAGAAAAACACTGTGCTCTCTCCTTGACTGCCTATGTGTTTTCAGGCATTGCTTGTTTATTGTCTTGCGCCTTAAAAGCACTGTTAGATGCGGTAAGTAGTTCCTTTTGTATCAGCGCGTGCAAGTAATGTGTCACAAAAAGCCAGGACACCCTGAGGAGAGTGAAGGGTTTCCATGACAGAATCACTGAGTGTGAACCCCACTCCAGCTCTGTGTTATGAATGGAATATTCTACAGGACTACTGCATGTAATACAACTCCCTGAGATGAAAACACCTGGTAAGCAAAGAAAAATGAATAATTGATCAGCCTTATGTTCCAGGAAGTCAAACAAGATATCACGAACATTTAAAATTACCCCATATGCATTACTATACTGCAGATAACAATGCTGCTGACGCATTAAGGATGTTTTTCTTTAATTATATAGACAGAACATTTAGGATGTTTTTCAAATAGTGCAGCCCTGTGCCCCCTCTCACTCCTGGAAACTCTCTCTGTATAATTCATGAGCCACATGTAAAATGTAGGCCGCTGACAATCGCTGGTGGAAACAGTACTAGTCCAGGTGCCTAGGTCACACTTGGGCACACATACAGGTTAACTGTCCTCTCTGGGTACCACACAGCTCTCAATGCTCTCAAGCAGCCCTGGTGACTGCTGTCAGGGAACAAATAAAAGCACTGCATGCCCATCATCTGTCACTCCTATTACTCTTTTTTTCTCCTTTCTTCCTGCGAGAGACTTGAATCCTCTCCTCTGCTGCTGAAAGCATTTATCTCATCATCTCTTCCTGCGGTAACCATGGCATCGCTGGCATCAGAGATACATGGAATAAATGAGGGCTGTATCTCCACATTTCCAGTTAACCCTTACTTGTGGCATTTCATCTGATTCCACAACTGGAGTGACATTTTGAATCTCTGTAGAATACCATGCCATGCGAGCCAAGCTTTTACTCCATGTCATCATTAATCCTCAAAAGGTACAATGCCCTCAATATGTCAGGCAGTACAAGTATGTGAACCTGGAGGTGTTATTTACTGTAGGTGTTGTATTGATGTGAAGATCAAATAAACATCAAAGCCACGTCTCCTGTATAGAAAAAACTGCACAGTATACACTCGCTCATCATAAACATTTTAGATAACCGATTGAATGTAGAATAAATAGATAATTCTGAGCCCTATTCTACAACGTTGGTGCAATATGTGGAATACAAGTAAACCACAGCATGGGAACATAATCTTGGCTCACATTCTGTATAAATTGCTTGTCAATAGTGAGACATTTTGGACCGTGCTAAGAATCCCTCTTTGTATGTAATTCAGAGGAATCAAAATGATGAAAAGGAGATGCATTATGAATTAATTTATCACAGAATAATTGAAATTATCAGAATGATCAGAAACCATGCTTTTATGTTGAAAAAGGTCTTTATTTTTGTCATACTGCCCTCTCATACAGTAGCACCTCCATTCACCCTCAGTCTGAAACCAGAGACCAGTCTGCTCTGATTGGTTAGCACGATGACTCTGTTGTGATTGGTGAACTGCTTAGAGATGTCATGCCCCTTAGCCTAACATGTACATCGAGCGCTAGCCAATAGAAGTGAGAGTGTTACATAGTGATGTCACTATGTCGCAGAAGTGAACAAAGGAGTCCAATAGGCGTATCAGGCGGGGTGGGGGTTTGGGAGAGAAATTCCCTCTGGAGGAAACTATGTTTTTTTAGCCTTTGCAGACCAGTTACATTTACAAAAACCTATATAAAACACTACAGGAAAGGGAACATTCAAAAAAGCATAATAGGGCATCTTAAAAACTGTGTAACAGAATTGTGTAACTTGGGAGAACAGGCCCTTGAAGAAACAAAACATGCATTTTCTGCAATTGATTTAATGTTTACCTGCATCTTGCGTAGCTGGCTGAGCTGTTTGCGCAGGTCGGTGGCATTTTGCTGCAGGCCGTTCAGGTGGAGCTTCATTTTCAAGCGGCCGGCGCCGTTAACCGGGGTTAAGAGAGAAGGTGGTGGCGGCATCAGAGCTAGAGGGGCCGACGGTGTATGAGCTGCCAATCACAGAGCAGGACAAGGGGGGTCACCAGGAGGTCGTTGGGAAACAAATTGATTAGCTTGCTGGGCTGTGCTCCGGTGAGATTTCAGTTAGCCAGCATGACAAATGAAAACACACAAACAGCATACAGGCTCAAAGAAACGTACATAATAGAAACATTTGCACAAACTGGAGCATATACAGTGTGTGAACTTTAAAAAAGTGCCATATTCACAAAACTCTAATAGCCCACTGGGAGAAATGTGAGCTCATGCTATTAGTAGCCCATATGGAAGAGCAATTAGTCTTTTCAGTAGTGACACACAGGGGGATAACCATGCTCTTATCTTGACACAGGGCTTTGTGAATATGGCCATTGACTCTCCAGCTATTCTCTCACACATGTATGCTTCCTGAACACACATATACACATTTAAAAAGGAGAGCATAGTCTCTGACAAAGACAACCTTCTGAAATTCCCAAAGGAAAAAACCAAGCAGAAATTAAAAAGTAGAGACAGAGACAGGACGAGGGGGTTCCGCTCTCAGGGAAACCAGCCAGGAGGAAAACGTGAGGATAGACACTGCCAGCTACCCAGCAACACCACACACCCATACAGAGAGCAGAGAGCCATGAGAATGTCTGATAGGTGGAAAAGAAAAGGGCGATAGAGAAGGAGATGACAACTACCTTTCTTCTTTAGCCGTCCAGCTGGAATATAAAAAGAGTGAGCCAGTTACCTTGGAATAAATGAGAGGGTGCTCGAGAGACAAAGAGGGACGGGGTAGTCTCATTTCATATTTACTGGCCATGTGAAAGTCTGGTCAAAGAAAAGCTTTGTTTATGCCAAAACCGAGCTACTGAGTTATGGACATGTGAGAAAGAAAGAGAGAAATGCGTAGAATAAAAGAAATGATTTAAGTCAGATATGATTCGGCCTGTATGGGCTACACCTGTTGGAAAAAGATTTCTATCAGTACTTAAAAATTAAATGCTGAAAAATATGTGTCTGATATTTACAAAAATACACCGATACATACAAATAAATATATCTCCATCAAGTACAGAGATAGCTTTTGAAGTAGGCTAAAAGCTTTATACTGGGCAAAATTGGATAAATTGAGATTTGCTTTCATCCGACTGAATATGAGAACAACAACAAATCCTCGGTTTGAACTACAAGTATGAAAAGCATGCTTTAAATAACCAAATCCACAACTCTAAACAAAGCGTTAGTTTCCATTGTGAATCCCCTTGTGAGAGCTTTGTCAAATTTGAATTCATTTGTCCTAAACTACATTCAGGTCACCATAAATTCTTCTTTGTGTCCTTTAGCCTCTTTAAAGTGTGGAAAATAAATTGTCCCAAAAATGTAAATAAGGCATTACTGTGTTAGTAACAAAAAGGGCTGGTGAGTAACGGCTGGGTACTCACGTTCGGTGGCGGAGCCGTCGCTGTTGGTGTCGGTCTTCTCGCTGGAAGAAAAAGGTAAGGGCCGTGAGAACTCCGTCCCTTGGTCTGGAGGGCAGCCCGCCATCATGCAGAGACGCAGCAGGCCGCATCTGAGGATTAACGGCCACAGGGCAAGGCAATTACAGTGCTAACGCTAACAGCACTACTCCTGGACACTATCAGACTACATTAACAAGCTATCCTCTTGTTAATGAGCCCCTGAAGTGTTCATGAGGCTGAAGTTATAACAATATTCCTTAAATACGAGGAACTCCAAATCAACTTAAAAGCTATCTTACACATTTCTACGTATCAATGCAAAAATCAATTGCACTGTGCCCTGTAGCTAATGTTTAGTGCTCTGTGCTTGTGTTGTGCTCACACAAACTAATGCTGATAATGGCTCTGATAACAGCCTGCCACCGTTGTCGTCGATAACGCTGCGAGATTTAAAGGGTTAATGGGGTGTAATGGGAGTCTTACGTGCTGTCACTGTCTGGTGCTCTGGTCAGCACGCTCTGGACCAGGCCAGTGAGGCTGGCTATCTGCTTCTCCATCGCCTCCATGCGCTCCAGACGCTGATCCCTGAAAAGGAAAATGGTAGTAATACAATTTCATTTATAGTGTGCTTTTCATGGTACTCAAAGACACGTTTTCAGCAGTTACAATGATCATATAAATCAGAACCCTTAAAGTATACAACATGCAATATCTATCATACATTAAAAGTAGTTCTTAAATAGTGAGTGTTGATCTGGGATTTGAAAATAAATATTGCAGAAAATGCCAAATCACCAAAAGCTCAAAGGCAGGTGAACACAGGGTTAAATTATAAAAACATTTGTTTGGCTGTGATAATATGTAACACACAGTTCAGTAGAGTAAGCAATACAGCTTTGTAAGTACATGTAAATATCTGCTTGTAACCAAAGAAATTCTAAATTAAAGTCTAAGAGAAAATCAACTATAATAATATTGAATCATCTTCTGATTCCCCTCACTAGAATTCCGTGAAGCCAGTTTAAACCAACATAAAAAAACACAAATACAGAAACTGTTCATGCAAAACAACCAGAGTGCTCTTATTTCATTTTTACAGATGATTATTCATTTCCCTTAGAAGCTGATTATAAAAACAAATGTTCAAAACCTACTTTAAACAATAAAGCACCTTCATTAAATTCTCCACTCAGACAGTACTGACCTGCTGGTTTCAAGGTCCTGTCCAGACAGGGAACCAAATCCAGGCGTGGCCCTGCCGCCCTCCCCGGGCCCGGCTGTCAGACACAGAGGCTCTGAACCAGAGCTGGGCCTGGACTTGGGGCTCTCTATAAACACAGAGGAAGAGGCAGAGTCCTTGCGGAAGCTCTGCCTGACAGGTGAGGCTCTGCTGGGCGGGTTGGAATACGAGTCCCTGTCCCTCATCTGCATGTCGGGGATTTTCTGCGGGGATGATGGCGGCATTCGAAATCCCATGCCCAGTGTGGCTGAGGAGTAGGTGTCGGAGTAGAGTGAGCCTCCAGGCTTGTAGAGGGAGTCCTCCAGGTCGGCAGCAGCTGAGTAGGTGCTTAGGGAGCGCACAGAGCCACGGCGGTACAGGCCACTGGTTACAGGGAAGCTAAAGGGGTCTCCGATGGCAGCGAGGGACTGGGTGGAGGCGATGCTGAGGCGGCCCTCGTGCATCAGGCTGTAGGGATCTGCATACAGGCTCTCGTTCTTCATCAGAGCCATATTCTTTGCAGAGACTTCCTCATCAGGCTTGACATCGCGGCGCTCCAGGATGGCGCTGGGCGATGGAGACAGACCTGCGTTTGGACCGTGACCGGCCGGGGCATGGTGGGGGTGTCGGGGCTGTTCATGCTGGGATCCCGTGAAGGATGGAGGACGGCTACCGCTGTAAGAGAGCCGTGAGCGGGACGGAGAGCTGGAGGACGTAGAGGATGGAAGGGTGTTGAGGCGGCGAGTTGGGGAGGAGTCGCGAGAGGAGTACACCATATCCCTCTGAAATGAACAAGCAGGGATGCGGGTTACCATGGAGAAATACAGATGAGATGTGTCCCATGAGGCAGTTTGACATAACAACAACTGAGATCTGATAGACAATAAATCAGCTGTTAAATTCTGTACATCCCAAGAGAAGATGGTTCTCAAGAGACCAAATGTTGTGTGTTGTTTGTTATGTTGTTTTAGATTTGCCAAATTAGAGAATATAAATGTTGTCCAGCACATGCATATTCCAAAATGTCTCTTTGCTTCTTGTCTTCACAGGTTATAGGGTTACTAGTATATTATTACAAGCAGATAATATGCTAAAACAAATCATTAATATGTATTCCATGTAGTTGTAGTGACAGGATGCAGGACACTCAACAACTTAATTCATACAGAACTGAATAACAGAAAATATATATGTCCTCTTAGCTATTCTTTTTCTCGACCTGCTTTTCTTTGTAGAGCATCATAATATGTCGAAACCCACCTCTGCCTGTGCTTTTCTAATGTAGGGATTTTCCTAATTTCACATATATTCAGTTTTCCCTTGTCACATTACTACATTTGTTGCTTTCCCATTGCTGTTTTCTTGTTCTCATTTCCTTCTCAGCATCCTAACCAACCTTGTCAAGCGGCACCATGTAATACACAGGAAATGCTGGAGCGTGACAAAGGAATTTGTGCTGTTGAGCTGTTATGTCTAGGGACAAATATATATATACACATTCTGTATATTTACAAAGCTACAGTATATGAGGTGTTCTGGTTTGCACAATCTGTATGGAGACAACCTAAACAAACAAATAGATTAAGGCACAGCGCAAAGCCTCTATTTGCTCTACAAGACACCACCAGGCACGACGTGCACAAGAGCAAATACATGGCAACATGCTTGTTAAGATGCAGCCTCAAGTTACAAAGAATAAATTAACCGTTCACCTCACACTTACCATGAAATAATTCTACACAATTAGTTGACTAATTTGATAATTGATTCATTGTCAAGTACATTTTCATGCAACATTGACAGTGGTGACTGCCTTTGTATGATTAATATCTTTTTTAATGTAATATATTTTGGGCTTTGGAAAGACACAACAAAACATTTAAAGTCCTTAGGCGGTGAGAAACTTGAATGGACATTTAGTACTGTTTTGGGATATTTAAATGATCAAACGATAAATGGAGAAAACAATCATCTTTCATGCACTGTGAAAGATGCTGGGTTACTTTGATAATGGTTTTGCCAAATTAAATGTGTTACAACAAATTATCCCTTGTTAGGGTTTTTTATATGTATAGATGTAGATTCACATTTTATTGCGTGCTGCGCAGCTTTCTCACTACATATCTTTGCTTTTCTTTGTATACACATGCATAAACAAGCATGTACTGTAAGCGTACACCAATACTTAAAACATACAGCACAATACATGCAAACACAATATACATACAAACTGCTGTTTGCATGGTTAATAGCGGTTGTATTCTCAGCATTGGGTGAATCTATGCAGTTGGTAAGCATGGTTTTGTATAAAATAATTAAAAAAACGGTCTCCCTCAGGCTTCCTTGATATTCACTGAAGCAGAAATAACATGGAATGTTGAAATATGCTCATTTCACAGAGGAACATTGTTCTCTGGTGTCTGCACAGCAACAGATGGCCTACTTGAAGATAAGAAAGTACATTTCCAGGAGGAATTCCTGTTAAATTACTAACTTATACACCGTAACAGTCAAAGGTACCTTTAAAGTATACAAAAACCGCCTAGCCAAAGAAGCACACTGCTGCTTTTCATGTAGAGGCACGGCATAATAGAGGTTCTCCCTGACATCAGACTAGCAAGATATCAGATGGCATTCTTCCTTTGAATAAAACCGTTAACCCCGTCACCTCCCCACTCCCCAGCCCCCGTCTCCTCACCCTCAGGTCTCCGTTAGCCAGGTGAGGTGCAGCCGGGTAGGAAGCGTAGATGGGCTCTTTGCGGTAAATCTTGATGATGCTGCGGTCCTGGATGTCTCGGACGTCCTCCAGCTCGTAGAAGACGTTGCGTGCCTCGTCCTTGATCAAGATGGCCGTGTTGGACGACTTCAGCATTCCTGCCGTCAACTTCTGAGGGAACATGTGCACGATGAGGGCGTGCAGCGTGTCCAGGCTGCTCAGCTCGTGGGTGATGTGAACCCGACGCGTCTCATCCCCGTACTGTAGGAACAGCACGCCTAAAAGAGAGTGACGGTTGAGTGAGAAGGGGATGGCTTCTGTTGATGGAAAGAATAACTAATCGCTTTTTTTTTTATGGCATTTTGATGGATATATTGCAGTCAATAATTATACAAATGTTCTGCCTTCAAATATACAAGATGCTGAAGAATGATTTTTATTATCAGATTTCAGCATGAATCATCCCTTTCTGAACGTGAGAATAGGACTGTGTGGGTAGCTGCGTTAGAATTCACAGCTAAGGTGCATATTTGATAAAGGCAAGTTGACTTTTTACAACTAATATCTTTCATATAAAACTTTTACTTCCTATAATCAAATGGCAAAATAACCCCGCTTCATGGAATACTTGGTCAAATGCTGAAACCTTAGATTTGTTTGTGTTAAAGATGACGCCTGACTAACCTGCAAATTCATCTGCATACACCCGGGGGACAAACAAAAACAACAAGCAAAGCAAAGAAAGAACAGTGATTAAAAGTCAAGCAGAATAGGTGAGTATATTTCAGAGGAGTTGGGGAGAGAAGAAAACAAAGTGGTTAGTAATGAGACACGGAGAGGAGAGAGAGGCAGCTTCGCTCTTCTGTGATCTCCTCATTGAATATAGCCCTCGTCAGTCAATTGTAATTTAGTTTTATAGATCGTTTTTTTTCTCACAATACCTGATGCAACACCACTCCTTGATCTGGACAAGCCTCACAGTAATACACTGCCAAGGCCCTTTTGTAGTAAACCTGCTGTGATTAATACAGGCAGGCAGTCTTACAGTCAAATACACAACACTAGCAATCTAAACTGGAAAACATTCTCGGAAAATGTCAGGGTTTTTTATAATAAACCATTCTTTCTAATTGTACACCTACACACTTGCTTGTTAGTTCATCGTGCATATATTAAGAGTATTTGTGTCTATACTTAAATAGATCAGCTCGTTATAAGTTAATTAACCATTCAGAAAGTTATGTTATGTGAGCACTCACTACTCTCCAGTCTTCTGTAGCAGAGCAATTAGAGTAAACTGTAACGGTAATTGAGATGAGAGTAAGACACTTTTCCCGTTCTGTGTAAGCGTGGCGCTGCACATCACCAGCCTGACCAGGTAAACAGACAGCTGTAAATCTGCCTGGAGTCCGGCCAGCTTGTGGTGACAGAGCAGTGCTTTAAATCTTAACCTGGAGATCGTAGCTTATTCTGACTGGCAGAGCGGGACAGCGGCAGGCTCTGGCGGAAACGGTTCATCCTGTTAAACCCGACGGGGATGTCAGCTTCTGACATGGTCTCCAGGGACTCAGCTGAGGCGAAGGAGAGCTTGGCGGCCTGGTCGGCAAGCCCAGACTGGGTAGACTGGGAATGCCTTGGGCTGCGGCTCTGCAGGAAGACAAAGCACAAGGAAACACACACTCATTAACTAAGAGGTCAAATCAAGGCGGAGAGAATGGATTAGACAGGGCCAATGAAGTAAGACCAACCGGAAAAAGTGACAGTGAGCACACAATGAGACACTACACAATCAACCACGTAACAAGATTAATGAGACCTTGACAATGTTTTAGCTGCCAGCCATTCACTAACAATTACCGGCGTCACAGTATCCGTCATCAGTTGAATGCCGCAGCAGAAAAGCACAATATAGTTGTTCTCAAATGGCACAGCACTCCAGGGAATCAGCCTTTATGAATCACCTATGGTGGCGAAATTAAGCTGGAAACTGTGCTCCAGCTCAGCATAAGTTATGTCATGTTTCCTCGAAATGTGTACAGCATCCAAACTCTTTCCCCTGTGCTGTTAGGGACTCTAATAAGGACTTGTGGGAGGGGAGGAGAAGCGGATGCAAATCCCAGGCTGTCACTATTGGTTTATCCTGCAGGACTCTGCCCAGTATCTTCTCCCTGAAAGACTGTTAGTGCAGCAGGGCTGAGCTCACTGAACTGGCTCCCTGATCCTCCACCGCTGTAGCGTTTCCTGCAGCTCAGGGGCGGCTGTAATGAGCTCCCACAATGCTCTGTGATGCTTGTTTGGATGGCAGGAGCAGACACATCTTTAGCCACAGTACAGTAGCTGTGCTGGTTCCCTCATCCTTTCACCATGCCATGAACACAACTGCTCTCCCCACTTTCAAGGATTTATTTTTTCTTCCCCAATGTGTAGCATGGATTCACTGTGGCTTCCATTAATGTATTAATGGAAGGATAGAGGGTGTCGTTTTTCTCATACTGATATTCTGAACAATCTGTGCTGTTGTATTTGCTGTAAAGTGTCTCTACTGTAGGCTATTTTAATTTTATGTACAGCACTTTGGCTCGACCAAAAATCGTTTATAAATGTGCTATATAAATAAAACTTGATTTGATTTGATTTGATTATTTAATTAACTTGACAGTCTGTTAGAAGCTTCACAACATGTTTTTGACTTGGGCTGTAAAACAAGACACAATACAACAGCTAGGGATTACCTTTATTTACATTTTTTAAAAATATTTATTCAAAAGTAAAGACATTTTCCATCTCAATTTCACAGTAGACATTTTCAAATGCAATGATTTGTTGTAACCATGGTTGTAACCAACAGCCAAATTCCGAAAGTGATTCATTTTTAAATAACGCAAAGTTGAAATACTTTCTGATTTAGCTGTGGTGCTATATGCGCATTATTTAAATAATAGTAGTAATTTGTAACTTTATTTCTCATGTTATGCTATGCCTTCTATGTATTAAATTGTATCCTGGTTTTTTATAATTTAATAAAGTATGTATTATTTTCCATTATATTTTCGATAAATGATGTCGTATTAAATACATGTGTCGACAATTTACCCCATTTGTACGGAGCCCCTAAAGGGACATGAAAGTTTTGAGAAAGTTACCGGTGCGCCAAGGAGGAAGTGGAGCACACAGGAGACAACCATTTAATTGCAGACTGTTATGTTTATGTGGGGAAATGACAGTGCATACATTATTTGAGATATATTTCGAACTCAGACTTAATTTTAAGGACATTTCGGCCAGGGGTGTAGAGCTATTTGTTTAAGCACCGGATTGGCAAAACAGGAGAGTCTGTAAACCAGTCTGCTTTGATCTATGAATTAATGTCCGTGACTCTCAGGGTAGGCTACCTGCTGCCCACAGCTGTTTTAAAGGGAAAAAAAACACTCATAACACATACACACAGAGCCAGTGGCGGACTGGCCATCGGGACAAATCCGATGGGCCGGTACCGAAGTGGGCCGGTCGGGCCACTCGGCCCACTCCAATCGGGCCACTCCAATCAGGGCCACTAGGTCCACCGTTTCCCCGCAGTGAGGCTCCCCCCGGTTGACAGTTCACTATCCCCCCCCCCCCCCCCCCCCCCACTGTTGACAGTTTACGTGGGCTGGGTGAGATTCCCGGGCTGATTTTTAGTCCCAGTCCGCCCATCATGCACCCTGGTGACCGGACATCTCCTTCATAAAACGAATGAACAGAGAGTGTGTGTGTGTGTGTGTGTGTGTGTGTGTGTGTGTGTGTGTGGTGTGTGTGTGTGTGTGTGTGTGTGTGTGTGTGTGTGTGTGTGTGTGTGTGACTGTGACTGTGTTTGTGTGTGTGTGTGTGTGTGTGTGTGTGTGTGTGTGTGTGACTGTGTTTGTGTAGAGGTGAGTGTGGTTAAAACGTAACAGCCTGCGGTCACTATTTAGCTGTTCGGATGAAGGTAAACACAGTGTAGGCAGTGCGTAAAAGCTCTTTGAGCGCTGGTGCTGCTCTTCTCTGAGTTACACGTCCCGTTGCCTCCTGGAGTGACCACACACCCCTGGTCGAAATGTCCTTAAAATGAAGTCTTAGTACGAAATATATCTCAAATAATGTATGTACTGTCATTTCCCCACGTAAACATAACAGTCTGCAATGAAATGGTTGTCTCCTGTGCGCTCCACTTCCTCCTTGGCGCACCGGTAACTTTGTCAAAAAAAGCAAAAAAGTCGGCATAACGGGTTAGTTTCTCGTGAGCACGAGATACTAACCCATCATCCTGACTTTTTTTTTTTTTTCATGTCCCTTTAGGGGCTCCGTACATTTGAAATGATTTTTGATGATTTGTTTCATTAATAGATATACATTATTTTTTGCTTTACTACATTAAAGTGAATGAGCTGTTACAGTATGACATTTAACTATTATTATCACCTGTTATTTGCTTTTTAAAGTTACTGCCATGTATCACTTGTGTTTACAAGGGAAGTTACAAACCCCATATCATGACTAAAAAGCAGAGCTATCTTTTTTTAAATGTAAGATTCCTTCTGTTGCTACCATACATAATTCAGTCACACACACACCCACACACAGAATGATAGTGGTGTCCAGTGATAGTGGTGGCAGACAGTGTCTGAGCACGCAGAGGACGCTGATGCTGACAGATAACCCCCACCGTGTTTTCTAATGGGCTCATTTATCTAGAATGTGACCACACTGAACAACAACACAGAGGAGAAGCACATACGCTGCATCACTGTGTCATATTCTGGCCAGCTACAGTGCAATATAATATATAAGGGGGTGAGATACAGTACTACACATAGTAAGGTTAGTGTCCAATAGCATTTTATCTCGTCTTCCTTTCTATGAAACAAAGTATCTTTGCATTCCTGCTTTCCACTCTGCTTATGGCACACTTATTTTATGAAGCCTATGGTAGTTCTTTAGTTAATATGAAGCTAAAGTTGACAGTTGTTAAGCTTTGCATAGCACAACGACCAAAAGCAAGTGGAAACAGCTAGCCTGGCACCGTAAAAATATATGCGAAACTGAGCTTTGTTACATTTTTGTGCTTTTCAACTACAGGAAGTTACCAGTCTAAATCACAAAATAGGTAAACAGGTTGGAGCGACTAAACTCCAAATGAATTTAGTTGCTAAGAGGCTAATCTTGGCCTTTGTCAGTCGGCTACATATCACTTCTCAATAATTACAAAAAACAGCCGGTTGATAAAATATTTTATAATTTGTTGGACTCAAATTACAAGTATTTTGTCTACCTGGAACGGCATCTGTAGAGAAACCAGCTACCCGAGCCCAACACTATTTCTCAGGGGAAGTCACACACAGAGATATATTTGGCATAAAATGCAATACCAGTTTCCAGTATTAACGGGATTGGCAGAAAGCCCCACCATGTGTAAAACATGTCAAAGGAGTTTTCTTCAGGGAGTATATGGTAATTATTTTCTCTGTATGGCTAAAAGGGGAACTCTGTTTCAAAATCTCCGTGTTTCGGGAATTTAAATAACCTAGCTGGAGTTTTCTAAGAAAAGGCAGAGGGAGTTGAGAATTTGCTGCATGATGGAGCTCGAGTCTCACCATGTTTGCGTACTAAAGTTTTATATTTCTGAACCAGCTAAAAACAGTGAATGTGCAATGTTATACCCTCTTCTATAAATAAGCTGTTAAAAAAGACAATGAAACCGATGTATGAATGTGTGTGATCTCACCAAATCTGTTGCTCCTAGTCAGCTTGCCTAGTAACTACGTACATTGGCGTCCATATTGGTGGTTTATGTGATATGAAAACGGAAAATCTCTCCATGTAGGAATTTAACATTGTAAATATTATATGTGAAGGCACCATCTGGTCCTGCTAGACAAGCCAGTGTTATACATGACCATGTTCACAGCCTGATACGAGGGAAACTGGTTCCACCTCCTTCTTATTTTCCCCTACAATCATCTCTCTACCGCTGCCCTCTTGCCCCTTCCCCCCTCAACCTTTTCTTTTAGAGTGACTTTTTCAACAGCACTCAATTATTGTTGAGAACTCTAAACTATTCTAAGGGCACGGCAGAGGAGAGGAACAAGTAGGGAACATGATGATCTTACTCAGAACAGAAGTGAATGGGGGAAATCGGGACACAGAGGTCTGACGGCAGACCTTAGGCTACAAACTGCATTAAACTCAATTCGACCTCCGCCATGTTTTTTCCTGTCTCGCATTAACACGTACACACCCACACAGGGACGCTCTGTTTTAAGGTCAAGTGGCACTGGAAGAGTTTTTGGTTAAAAAGTGCAAACAAATAAGAAGAGAATCAGCTTTAAAGATGCTTAACACACTGTGAGGAAACAGTGTTGATGCCAGGCAGCACTCAATTGGAATTAAGCTACGTTTAAACCCTGAATTGTTCACCTCTATAAATTCTTTAATTGTGCTGGTATGAACTGTGGTTAGCCTGTTATTTAAGTTTGTTGTCAAATAAAATTGAACTTGATGCAGAGCAGACAACGAAACACACCATATTGTCTGTCTCTTCCAGCCATCTCCAATGTTTTTTCTTAATTTCCGCTCATGGTAAAATCATTTGAAAGTAATGCTGTCTTTCTTTTGTTAGTTACGTAACCATTGTTGAGAAATGAATCGTCTGAATTTTCTTCTTTTTATCGGACAAAACCGATTGAGGGTGTTGTTTTTATTTTTTGGAATGAAAATATTAATTTATTTGTAATTCTTTAGAATCATCCATGCAGTGCATTAAGCATTAAAGTTGCAGGTTCTACCCATTAAAAATGGCAGATTGATATATGTTGTGGGAAATAGCATAATGTAAAGTATAAGTATAATCATTATACAATACAATAGAAATGGGCAGTGCATGCTCAGCCAAAGATAAGGCTTATTTAAGATGAGAGATTTCAGCATTCAGTACATCATGTATCTTTCTTGCAAATACATCCAGCACAATTGCATAAATGAATAAAAGCACACTAGCCAGTCTGTAACTATCTAGGCTGTGGTTTGGTAGGCGTTACCACATGTGAAAGTGTTGGAGTCCAGAGGGAGGCTGACCACACAATTGCTGCCGCTGCTGCTAGCCAATTCTCTCTGATCTTTTCCCTGAATGTAGTCATTTCCCTCTCAAGTGGTTTGACATTCTGATGGAGTTGAGCGAGGAGACAATATACATCAACCAGAAATGTCAGCAACAGACTCGATGTGTGTGAAATGACAATGAAGTGTTTGGCTTTTGAGTATAGTTTTGAAAACTTGAGGTGTGAAATGGTGAATATCACAAACCTCACGCCTAACCACATCTCTTCTCTTCCATTATTTCTTTATGAAAATTCTTCTAATGATATTTTCCTCTTTCTGAAAAGCTTGCTTCAGGTTGTACGTCTCCCTCCAATCTTTTTTTGTGTCTCTTGTCAATCATCTGTCCACTCCCAAAGCTCAATTCTGATTCTTGCTGAGCTGCTCCACGTCAACAGATCTTCCTCTGCTTCAGTCTCTAGTGACAGAGGTCAAAGCTTCATCCAGGTGACATGATTGTGCTGTCACTTTCTGCAGTTCAAGATTTTGAGCCTGCTTTGTCTCCGTCCAACTATAAGCTGGCTTTTCGTTCACAACAAAGTTCACACCCATTACTTTTAGAAAATGGAGGAAGAAAACGGCTGACTAAAATCAATCCATCTCTAACCTTAATCTTCTGCCTGGACAACCCCCCTAAACTCCATTCTCTTATATACCTGGAGTCGTCAATGCAGGGAACCAATCGCTTTGATAAAGTGCTGTAAATTACGCAGCGATATTAAACGGTTTGCTCAGAAGAAAAGGGAGCAGAATGTCGTTATCTTTGAGAGAGGAGATGATGGCTGAGATTGCAGGAAGTGATTTTCTTTTTCTGATAGACAAGTAGCTTGAAAACACAGCAGGCACCAACATGTCGTAAAATGTCCTCTCTTTTGTATCCCAGTTTAACTGTGCATTATTCCATATCCAACACCTGCAAAGTGGTGAATAGTCACAGTACATATAGTCAAGTACTGTACTTAAGTACAATGTTTCTGTACTGGTACTTTCCTTGAGTATTTCCAATGTATGCTATTTATACTTTATGCAGCCCATTTACATGCACAAAAACATGTATAACACACTACAGGAAAGAAAATGTTTTAATCATTCTCTGGTGTGTACGGTTTTTTCCCTCTGCTTTCAACTCATTCTCAAACAAATGTCTTTCTCTATGGCTGGTTACATGGAAAATACAAATTATGATTAGCACGCATTTACTATTTAGTCGTTGTGAACCAAAAGATAAACTAATCTGTTGATATAATCCATAATGAAAGTTGTCCGTAGTTACAGATCTTTCCTGTTCAACGTTTTCAAAGTTTTCAGTAGTGCTAGACACACTTACTTACAAATGTTATTCTTTATCAACAAACATGAGCATGTGTCTGTGTAATGTTTGACAAATCTTTTACAAAAACATCCAGAGAGCTTTTGCAAACCACCACTTGAAAGTCCTGCAGAGTTGAAATCCTCTGGTTTTGGATTTATCTGATGGCCGGGGCTCTAAATTCTATTTCTATCACTCTTGCTTGAGGTTGTAGTACTTGTGTAAGTGAGTTATATATTGCTCAGCCTTCCATATAGGTCAGGGCAAAGGACATTGATATTCAGTGACATTTCCAACCTGTCCAAATGATATTGTAAGCAGGGATTCAGGGAAGACTACACCGCAGAGAAGCCTTAGGCTCTTCTCTCACGCACATTAAACGTTCTTTAACTTTCTGTTTAGATAGGACGCCTCCTTGCCTGCACATTAAAAAAACACACAAGCTACAAAATTGGTTCAACTCTTTAAATAGATAAACACTTTCTATACATCTTGACGCTGGCCTTCTCCAGTTCATTTAGCACTTATTGCCTCTTTGCAACCTGTGAACAAAACACATTCAGCCGCCCAGCCATGTCTCAAGCCTCTGTGCTAATGTCAAAGTATTATTTCAGTCATGCCTCAGCGGCATGTCTGAAATGTCTACTTAATGTCTCAGTCAGTGTGAGTAATACTTCAGAAGGGTCACATGGCTTCTAGCCATTAATGCCAGCTGCCTGAGGGATCATAAATCCTGAGAGAATCTCCTTCTGCAGATTAAATGGAGCTGGAGAAGTTTAAGCTGTCGCCACCCCTGACACCTCTGCCACTACACACTCTCACACTGCCCAAAGAGCCGAGAGATGTCAAGTGATCTGGGTGTCGCAGAAGCCAGAGAACTAAGGAGATAGACTGGTGCTGCCCGAGGAGTCTGACATAATCCAGCCACACACACACACACACACACACACACACACACACACACACACACACACACACACACACACACACACACACACACACACACACACACACACACACACACACACACACACACACACACACACACACACACACACACACACACACCACACACACACACACACACACACACACACACACACACACACACACACACACACACACACACACACACGAAGATGACGAACACACAGGGACAGTAAGACAAGCAGCACTGACCTTAAAGCTCCAGTAGTTGGGCTGTTGCTGTTGCTGTTGCTGTTGAGATTATGAAGGACAAAATAGGGAAGGGGAGGGAAACAGAAAGAGAAAAGTTAGGGACTTGCTTCTGAAATAATAACAGAGGATCAATGACATAAATAAAACTTTTTTTTAAGTGCATAGAACAGGCTGGACTGGAGAGGAGATGTGAGGTGTTTGACACTGAGATCCAAAGCATCCTCCTTGAGAAGTATAACCGGTTGCATTTCCTAAATCAGTTCCTTGTTGCGTTCCATTTTTGACAGGCCCTATAGGAAACTCATTAAAATTGTTGACAGCTTCATCTAATCCGAACCAGAATCGTTAAATTTGATTGGTGTTAATGCGGGGGGCGGCTGTGTTTTGCAGGCTTCAGGTTACAGAGCACCTGAAACAAGATTGCACTGTTGGCTGTTACTGGTGAAAGGGAAGGAAATGAAAAGGGTGAAATCGAATCAAACAGCAGCCCACTCTGTTGTTCCGATGTTGGACTCTCTCCCAGACTCCTCCACCACCGGCTCCGTCTCCTCCTCGCACTCGGCTGTCTCTTTCACTCTCAATCCACCTGCTCTGCTCTTTCAACTAAATATCGTCACATCACCACTTTTTTCTCTCCATGCTGAATCACTCATGAGCCTATTTGCCCTTCCTGCTGCTCTGCCAAAGTGCGAAAAAAGCTGCATGTTGGCCAAGGCCTCAGGAAGTGAGCTTTCCATGCAAACGTAATAACCCCCCAGTCGAGTTCATGAATTGTAATTCTAATCCAAACTCTTATTCTACAGTAGTTCCTATTCTTATCTGACGGCAATTTTCAGTCCAGTCTTCCTCCCTTCTGCAGGAACCACATTACTCTCCTGGAGCAGGGAGGGTAAAAAAGTGACAGTCAAGTTTTGATTTATGATAGTTGGTGGTAATACTGTCGCAACAAAAGCCTGTATTATTTCAGTATACATTAGCATTACAGGGAGAGTGATATCAACCGTTCATAACCTTATTGCAAGCTTATCTTTTATTTATTGTTCCCTCATTTGGCCCTGCTGCCATTCTTTGACATTATCTTTGGTTTTATCATTTTTCTGTGCTGTCTAGTTTTTTTCTCTCTTATTAATGTTCTGTAGTGCAATTTGTTGCTTAAGTGGTAATGGTTCCTGGGCAAAAGTACACTCAGCGATGATTAAATAATAATGCTAATATTTGTAATCTTTTGTGTTGTGCATGTCTCGCCTTTTATTACATGTTATGTTGGCTTTACTGAAGTTTTGATCAGGTTTGGTGCAACAATTGATTGCCCACCAAGGGTCAACACTTGGTATTAGTTGTCAAGACTTGGATTTGTGGTCTCTGTAAAGGTCAATCAGAAGAGCCGATCAGACGATGCCTTGATTCTGAATTGAAACTTTTTAATAATTATTTACATTATTGCCTGCTCTTTATTGCACCCTGAGATGATCACACATGGACGGACACACACCAGTGTGTGTGGCTCCACATGTGGAGCACACAATTGTACTCGGCGCCACAGAGCTCGGCGCTATGAGTCTTGTCTAAACAGCACTGAAGCTTTCTTTTAAATTAAATACAGAACTAGATTAACCTATTGACGGCATTGAAACCAGGCAAAACTATTCTCGTTTGTAACCACTTATGTATTAAAAGAAGCCTGATCTGTGTCCCAATTTATACTACACACTAAAAGCATACTGCATGTACTCCTTCAACATATTTGGTAGTTAATATGCAAGAAAAGTCTGTGTTCAGCTTCTATACTAAATACTAACTGTTAATAACTCTAGGTAATATATCTATAATATACTCATTTGTAGTTAAAGGTGGGGTATGTAATTTATTTCAGAAACACATTTTGTTATATTCCATGGAATGCTCTTAACATCCCGATAGCAATGAATATATTAAATGCTTTGATGATAAATACATAAAAAAACGTCATCTGTGGAAGCTGTGGCGCTGTAAAAAGCACGACCAATCATTTTAGCTGGCCCGGCTAAAATAACTGGATGGCCTACCTGCCTGTCAGCCTTCCATCTGTGCACAAACTTATCTCGTGCCCTCATTGGTCATGTGCGCGTTCGTGTGTGTTGGAGGAGGGGCTCTGTAAGGAAGTGGCAGATTTGTTCCGGTTGTGTATTTTCAAATTCTAGCGCACTCGAGCCGGTTTCTCCAAAATTACCTACCCCACCTTTAACTTCAACATTTAAAAACAAATCTTCCCGGGGTTGTATGCCCCCGGACCCCCCTAGAGGATGTGAGGTCCACCCCCAAATAAAGCAGGTTAAAATAATTAAATTGCATACATGTTCTTTTAGTAAACACTGAAAATGGGTCCCAGAGACCCAAACAGCACACAAAGGTTAAAGGTAAGCATATAATAATGTTAAAATGTGCTAAATATATACACTGCAAAAAACAAAAAACAGAGGAGTAAAAGTAGCTCACGACTTGTTTTATCTTTTGAAAGTCGCTCTCATCCTAAAAAAGGTTGGTGACCCCTGGCCTAGAAGCTATTCCATAGCATTTACATGGACAATTTTCTGTCTGCCAAATAATGTAGCTGTACTGTTTTTACAGTTTTACTTTGAGATGTAAAAAAAAGGTTTGTGTGATATATCTGCCTAGACACTCTAACATTAAGTGTGACTCAAAATGATATGGAGCATAATCTCCACCCACACTTATTTCTTTCCCATAGCATATACATTTCTACCAACATATGTCGAAGAAAATATTAGTAGGAGAACTCTTCGATGTGACGCTAAGGAGAATTTATGTCTCCAGGGTAGTTTTTTCTGCTTTGTTTTTTTAGGTAATATGGTCGCCTGTCAAAAAGAATTAAATAATTAAACTTCATTTTGGGTTAATATTAGAACACCTTTAAAGACATAGCTTTGCTACATAGATTTAAACAAGGAATGTTGTCTTATTTAAACAGGACAATGAGCGATCTGAATGAAACATCAGCATCTCCTCTGAAGTGGTCAGAAAGCTAATTCTCAGTAAGACTCAGGTGTGAGGGATCATGGGTAAAGTGGGTCACTGGTGATAAGATAAGACATGAGGGGAGGTTGGACTCATGTTGGCCTTGACAACCTGGCCATGTGTCAGTCATTTATTCAGTAAAGCTTTGTCCTTGACAATCTGTTGAATCCAGAGCGGCTTCGAGGCAGCATTGGAGCATCATAAATAATTGCTGTTCACTTGTTTAGACAATGTTAATGATATTATTTTCCCACAAAGCTAAACGACTCTGAAGGCTGGCTTTAATGGTGCGGAAGTCATTCGTGGTCTTGTGGTGTGTTTGTCTCTTGTGGTGTGTTTTCTCTCTGTGCTTTAATGAGGCTTACTCACAGTTTTCAGGGAACGTCAACACATTCACAATCCCCCGTCTCGTGTTGTTGTAACTGTTGCTCAGCTGACGTTGTTAGAACCCCTTAAACTTTCTCCATCCTAGCAATTACTAGGCATTTTATTTTGTGCGGAAATTATACAAAGACGTTATCACACTAATTCATTCAGACATAATCCCTGATGAGACAAAACTCTCCAATGAGGCTCTACTAATTAGCTCAAATGTGCACCTTGTCATATTTAACCTCCTGTTGAATTTAATACGTTGTGAGCCCCGAAGAGACAGTTGTACTGATGCCTGTTTGAAATGTCAGATTAAACCTGGGGCTAAAGAGCTGAATGCACGTAGAGACACCCAGGAATACATTTGTGAGTTGTCCACAGAGCTCCAACAGGAGGATGTAGCCTCGCAGAGCATAGCGCTGCATTACCTGACCGGCATGTATAGCAGGCTGCACTCGCTGCACCCCTCCTCCACCTCCGCCTCATGTCGTCATCCTTTCTGCACCCCCGCCCCCCTCTGATCTCAACCACGCTTTACTCTTTCCCCCCCCCCCTTCAATCCTCCTCCGGTTTGGCTTGGCATCCCAATGTTACCGCAGCCCCTGTCCCCTTCTGTCTGTCATTTAAAATACACCTACACTAGCCACCACGGCAAATAAAGGCTGCACAAGAGGCTGTGTGCAGTTTACACTATCGTCCATTCAGCCTTCGTCTAGCCTGCAGAGCATATGCAGCCCCCGTCACCACAACAACCAGCATAAACACAACAGGCGTGGAATATAATCCTAGCTCGTGCATCCTTATCAGACACAAACACACACACACACAAACACACCCTTCTCTACAACAGCCTCCAGCTTGCAGTCCCGTCTCACCTGCAGTGCACCTGTCCACTACTCCAGTCATCCCAGGCTGTCGGTCAGGTGCAGCGATGCCTCGTGGTGTTTTTTGCCCGTCTCTCCCTCCCTCTCCCTTCGCTCAGGCCACCTCTCTCCCCCTCTCTCTCTCTCTCCCTCTCTCTCTCTCTGTCTTGCTCTCCAGTAGCACATGCGGCGGAAACTCTTTATTTAATTCATTACAACACCAGCCGATTAACTCCTTCGCAGATGGGTGGCTGGCTCCTGCTGGTGTTGGCTAATTGAGCAGCGGGCTGCTTGACTGGCTGCTGCGCTGCGCTCCTCTCCTCTCCAGCTCCTCCTCCCCCCCTCCCTCGCTCCTCGCTGTCCATGCTCTGTACATCCACGAGATGACAAGAAATCCCGGGTTCTGCTGCTGCCTCCCCCGTAAACGGAAAATACGTTTTGCATCTGTCCACTCTCCCGGCTTTTGTTCACATTTTTTTTTTTTTTACCTCTGTCTCGTTAATTCTCTCTCCCTTCGGTCTTCATCATTGCACAATTCTTGCTTCTCTAACCTGACCTTTGCAACGCGATATCCCTACTTGCCATTTATGGGAGAGGTTGCCACGGCAACTATGGACTCCACCTGCATATCACCCGCCCTCCCTTGCTTGCTCTCACTCACTCACTCGCTCTCTCTCTCCCTTTCATTCTCTTTTCTCCCCTGATGTTCTTTTCTGTCATGTCTTTACAATAAATCTAACCTTTTTTCCTCGATACACACACAGCAGTAGAGCTCACACAATGAGTGTGTGTGTGTGTGTGTGTGTGTGTGTGTGTGTGTGTGTGTGTGTGTGTGTGTGTGTGTGTGTGTGTGTGTGTGTGTGTGTGTGTGTGTGTGTGTGTGTGTGTGTGTGTGTGTGTGTGTGTGTGTGTGTGTGTACCTGTGCATGTCAGTCTGTGAAAGTGGTCAAATGATAAACTACATCTTATGGGGGAGAATAATTGATAAGAGACAGAAAGCAAAGGAGAAACATTATCCTTAATTGTTTAGAGAACAGCATTAGCATTTATACATTCATAAAGTGTGTGACTTCCCATCCTCCTTCACACCTCAACAGAGCCAGTCTATGTAAAGTCCTGGCTGCAGAAAATAAAACAAAGAAAGCTTGGCTGTGACAGTTTAATGACAACCTCTAATAACCACCATACAAAGACCCTCTGACAGCCTTTCCTTATTCTCTCTCTCTCAATTATTTTAATAAGCACAATGTGCAGAAATTGTCCTGACAAGAGACAACCTGATGATACCTCAACTACAGCGTTACGTGTGCATGTAAATAGGCCTGTCTACATATTTTTGTCTCTAATCAAATTGACAGTATTGATCAGTTTGTCACGTACAGTATCTCTGACAGGATAGTCCTGAAAGAAAAACAGAATCCCATTCCCCAGGTATGACTTTTTACCTGTTCTCGTGCAGCCCGCTCTGACGTCCCCCTCATGCTGGCGTGGGAGGGTGAGGGAGAGGGTGGGGTGTGGTGTGGGCTGTGATGCGGATGCTGCAGTTGCTGCTGCTGCTGGTACTTGCTCTTCAGGTGGTCCATGAAGGCGTCCCTCTTGCGCTCCATGTCCACCTTGTGCAGGTTGGTGAGGGCCTCCAGGCTCTGGGCCGCCGTGACCGTGTGCCGGTGCTCCGACGTGTGCACCAGGCCGACATTGGAGAAGCGGCGAGCGCTGTTCCCCAACGTCCGGTACTCTCGCGGATACTCCAGGTCATCTGTGGAGATCATGTGACTGCCACCACGCTCGGGATCTGTGGGACGAGGACAGAAGGATAAGGGAAAGGAAGGAAGAGGGAAGGGTTGGAAAGTGTGAGGTGATTCGACACCCACACACGCATGCAGAAAGATTTCAGGGTGAAGACGGCAGCAGGCAAACATGGGTGGAAACAAAGGGAGCAAAGAGTAGGAAAAAAAGGCAGAGAGAGAGAGAGAGAGAGAGAGAGAGAGAGAGAGAGAGAGAGAGAGAGAGAGAGAGAGAGAGAGAGAGAGAGAGAGAGAGAGAGTGACAAAATTGAATTGGATGTTAGACTATTTGCCACCAGGATGTAGCATTTCCCTGCAGAATTATTGATTTCAAGTTCTGAAGGGAAGAAAAATGAGAAAGTAAAATGCTTCTGCAATAGATCAAAGCAAGATGATGGGACTGCATTTGTTTGGCTGGATGTTCCATTGTGATATGCCTGCTTGTCATTTCAAGTGTCTTACGTTGTTTCCTTTGGAAACACAGAGAAGCAAAATGCTGAAAATTGAGGAAATGGAAAGTCAGTTGGGAACATGAGGCAACACTTCCTTTATAAATGTCCTTGTTCTTTTTCACCAACTACTGTCCATCTATCTGAGAGTTCCCTCCATCCCTTGACATTCTCTGCCACTTACTCTACATATTCTCACCGTCTCTTGGAGGAGAGGCGCATCACTCTGACAGCCTTTGGCCTTTTATCAGCGCTCTAATTGAAAAGAAACACTATTGAAAGCATGAGCAAAAAGGAGACAGCTGGAAGGAGACGGTATGGTAACAGAAAAAAATAAGTGACTGAAAAATTAAAATGTAAGCATAATGGAAGAGCAGGGAGCCATTCGCCCGGTGAGTTACCTTGCTTAGCATAACAGGCCCCGGCGTTGGCTAGAAGAGAAACATGCAAAGGATTAATTTGCGTGTTTGTGCACAGCGGTGCCGACAAACACGCCAGGACACCATCACATGAGCATCAGCAAAGAGCTATCAGGAAATGATAGCTCTTTCTCTGAATTACAACTAGTTAATGCATTATATATGCATTATAAGGGTTAACATATGGAGAAATGGTGGTTGGCTATGAATACTAAGTGTCTTACAATAACCTCTAGAATGGTAAATGAATATAGAACATCGTGCATTTTTACACAGAAATAGTTTGTAGTTCATGTACTGTACTCATATTGGACCAAATAGCAAATTAACTGTATAAACATCTAATTTAAAGCAGGTAGAGAAAATGTTAAAAATCCAAAATGGATACAACTGGTGAGAAGCAGAGTATAAAAGTGCTGAGGCTTAATAAGGCTGTATGAAGTGGACCATCTGTATATTAAGGGCTCATCAGCAGCATTAGCAGGAGCTAAGTGAGTAAGCAGCAGAGGACGGCTCCTCAGGGCAGGAGCAACAAATGGACTGTTAATAAACGCACAGGAAGAGAGGAAGCCAGCCAGATGGGGGCCCAACGGAGCTGCAACGCTCTCCAGTGGACACACCTTAACACAGAGGAAGCCTGTAAAGGGCAGAAGGTCTGTGATCATTTCAACACAGCTGCAATCAGTCCGCATGCCCATCGTGAACCCATTTCTCTCTCTATTCATCCTCGGAGAGATATCACACTCAACTGTTTCAACACTGTGCCCTTACATCCACCATATTATGAAGTGCTGATAAACTGAGAAGGGGTGAAGCGCAATGGACTGACCTCCTGGCTAATAGCATTAGCATTGAGCTCTCTGCTGAGCATAAAGGCTGCCGGTCATATTCATCTGGCCCACTCGCAGACTGGCAGATCTCTGGTTTACACTTCATTAGGCCGGAGCTTATTGTCAATCAGCTAACAAGGACCTGACACAAGGGCCCCATTACAATGGCTGGCAAAGCCGGGCCTATGAGGCTTATTATTGTGACCGAGCATCCACAACATGCAGTGAAAAGCTGAGTAGGCTACTGCCAATAGATAAACATAAAACTACGAAGAAAATGAAACACTGCGTCGACAAAACAATGTAGCCTTATCAACCGCATAAAGTTTAAGTCCTTAGAGAAGTTAAAATGCTAAACAAGCTGATGTCTTGCCAAAGGAAATGAACTCTAGTTTTTAAAGATTTGCATCTCTTTGTACCACTGGTTTGGAATACAGCCAGAAAACTTTCTGCAGTTTATGGTTCTTTCTTGAGTTGTGTACAAAGCCACCAGCATGAGCAGCACAGCGGGAGAAAGATATGTGTGGGCAGCAGAGCAAGAATAGAAAGTTATTCATCTCTACTTTCGTCATTCGCAGCCAATGTATTTCCACATAAGCTGGCAGACAATAACCCTGACAGCCAAAACAATCTGTGCAAACCCACGCAATGGCAGCGTAATTTAAACGTACATAAAAGAGCCTTAATGGGGTGGGTTTCTGGTGACCGCTCTATCGCGAGAAAGCAGGGATTGTTGTCAGTAAGTCTGGATCTCCGGCAGGCCAAATTGCTGCTTTATAGACGGAGAACCTTCAGGAAAAGATGCAGCATGTTGGTCGACGAAATAATAGAAGATCTGAATAACAACGTGAGGCCACAATCAGGACCGATAGAATTTGAGCTCAGCCAATGAGGCCTCGGCTGCACTGCCAAAGATAGGGAGCACAGTCAAGAGCTTTCACCTGCCTAAATAAAACAACCAGCTGCGGAGACTTAAGAGATAAGATAAGACAAACAGGCAGGGAGAAATGACCTGCATGGAGAAAAATATACTACAAGGCAAAAATAATAAAACCTCCAATACAACCGGGAGTCCATCTCCATTTGTTGTTACTATCTGTATGCAAAAAAGCTTAAAACCGCCTTTCTTCAGGGGAGTTTGAACCACTGTTTGAAGCTGATCCATAAAAACAATGACAAATGGATTCATATTTATTGGAATTAAAAGTAAAACATTTCTGTTTAATACATTTTCTTCTGATTCGCCAGTCTACACCGCCTTCAGGAGGTTATTTTTTACATGTAGTGAAAATCAGTCCGTGTCATGAGGCATTTGCCAACTCACCCACAACAAATATCATCACACAAACATAATATTCTGTAACATCAAAGCAATATCCTGGACCACATATTTCCAAAGGGAAAGGTGCCTTTTGATATACAGTTTCCTGCTGAACTTGACTTTAAATTGTGGGAGAGGAGCTGCTGCTCATCGTATGCATGGACATAAGGTGTGGAGAATCACAAGGTGAGGAAAGTGGATTGGGTTTGCTTTGATGGATTTAGAGGCGGTGTAGCTTTATAATGTAGGCATGTTAAACAAGTGGGTCAGAGGGAGTGGAGGGGTGTAAAGTAGCTCCAGTCTCAGAAGGAGCTGCAGACTGCACAAACAGGGCAGGATTCTTTAATAGCTTAATCCAAATTCAAAGGTACTTCAACTCTCTTCCTGCTTAAGGCTACATTAAATACTTGTGTATTATTAATTTTATTTGAAAACGCATGTACAGTATGTACTTGGGAGGATGCTAATATACACTTTCTGTCCAAAACACAAATATATCAAGTAAACCATCATAAATGAGACATAAGGCAATCATTCAAATTTGAAAAGCTGAAATATGAGATTAATTTTCTATTGAACGACTATATGTTTTAGAATGACTAAAAAGTGGAAAAAGTTTTAGAAAAAAAGGTTTCGCAGAGACCAGACGGATTGATATGAAGTGTTTTGTGATGTAGAAATGTTAATAATTCATGTGTACTGAAAATGAGTCTCTGAATAGTGTCTGTCAACTCTGAGGCACATACAGTACAGCACAAGGTCTTCTCTCTGTGATTTAAATAGTCTCGCCTGCGCACCAGTTAAACATCAGGGATAAGAAGTGCCATCAGTGAATAAATAAACAAGAAGGTATTAAATTGAATATGATATCGCAGGTTTAATGAAGTCCATGAGACAGAACTTTCTATGCAGAACATTGAGACAACGTTAAAGTGTGTTTACACTTCAGATATGCTCACCTACACGATCTAGATGAAAGGCATAACTTTTTATTTAATCAGAGAAGTTTATATAGATAATTGTATTGACGCCTGCTAATAAAATGCCAAAGTAAGAGTCCTCTCTGTCACTTTAAATGATTCTGTATTCAAAACTAGATGTTAGTAATCTGTTTATTCATTGACATTTGATCAAATATATGGATTAATTCAATTATTATACAGGTCATTGATTTTTGCCTCTGTGTGGTTCTGTTGCTTGTTTTTTTTACATGAAAAAAAAAAATGTGTAGTTATCTTTGATCTGTGTTCAATATCAGATTACTATGTAGTGGCTTTTAATCTTTTAATGGTAATATTTAAACCAAGCATTAAATCCTCCATCGTATCTATTCTCAAGTCTCTTTTATTCTTCCATGTTGAGCTCGTTCTCCATGCGATGTCCTCCCCCTGAAGGTGTGTCGTTATGCAGATGTTTGAGGGTGGCAAGGCTTCTCCATCCGATACAGAGCCTAATTTACTGCGAGCATGACAGGGCTCCTTGTGGGATGCCGGACGTGACAGCATAGGTGGGATAGACCAGCTGAATATTAACCGGAACGAGGGAAGAGGTCAAATCAAGTAGAAGTGGCTGCAAACTGCTAATCCGGCATGTCAATTAATACTACAGGCAACAGGAAATAAGCCAATCAGCAAGGCTTGAAGCTGTTGGCAATTGTAACTCTATTCGCTCCAGTGGGAACAGTTTAAACAAATAACTAGAAGACTGTAAGACCACCAATCAGGCTTCTAGAAACTCTCCAAGTCAGTTCTCAAGAACCTATTAGGGGGTTGCATTTCACATAATATTAAATCTTAAAATGACAGCTGTGGGTAATATCACCCACAGGAATATGAGAACAGTTGGGCCTTAACCATAACGTGCTGCTGTTGACTCTTTAGGATGTTATTTCTATGAAGACTTCCCCTGCTAAATAATTACAAATCCTGCAAAAGGACTGGCAAGTGACTGCAAGGTACGCTATCAAACAGACCTTGAAATGTACTACAGCAAGTACAGTAGTAGACACTCGAGTTTCATAAAGCGACTAAACTTGAAAGGGTAACATTTGTTTCCATCTCTCCTATCTCATTCTTTTAGTGTTCTAGCTGGATTTGTTTTCTCTCTTCACTTGCAACAATGAGGCTCCAGGTAAAAAGGTACATAAAAGCAGCAGCTTGTTCACTTCACTCTTTTTTTCTCTCTCCATTAAGGTATTCTCTGAAAGCTCAGAGGCACCGCTGTGGCAGGAGAGGAGAGTTAAAAGGGGTGAAATTGACGCTTGGGGATTGATAGCAAGACTTCAGAAAAGCTCAAAGCCTATGTGTCTGCATTGTCTGACGAAGTAACGGGCGGAGACGGTGATAGGCTCACATTAAAAACTGACAGAAGCAACTGCAATCTGTTGCTCCACACAAGCTGATCATGCCCTCTTGATTAGTCCTCCTAATACATGGAAAATAAGATGATTGACATGGCCATCTTGTTCACCTATTGCTCTTCCCTGTCTATCCATCAGCCGTCTACGACCCACCCACTTTCGACTTTAGTTTCCCAGGGCAACACTGGGGACTACTGTAGAGGCAGCCTAGTTAAAATTGCAGCAGAAAAAGCACCTGTTAATACACAAAGGCATGCACTCAGACAAATCGAGCATGCTACGGCTCCACAGCTCTATGGGGCCGTCTGGAGCTGAAAACTAAAATGCATGTGTGAATTTGTCTGGAGGAAAAATGCAACAGAAGCTGGATATATATAAATGTGACAGACTGGGTGCTGCTGGTGGGGGTAGTGACATCATAATGCACCTCTTTGTTCACTCGTCATCTTGCTAAAAGCCGGCTGTCTTTTTCATGAACAACAGAGGTCCGCCAGCAGGTGAG